GGCCTGACTGGGGCTTCCTGAGTCTAGGGGCTGGCATCACTGGAGGCCTTCCTGGGCTGCTAGAACTCAAGGTCCCTGTGGGACTTCCAGCAGCCCCTGGAGGCAGGTGTGTAGAGGTGGTTATTTTGCTCCCCAGGTAGTCCAAGCAGGAGTTGGTGTGGTCCAACGTGGAGTTGATGGCAGTTGCTCTGCTTCCCTGAGCCATCACCCTTGCCTTCTGCACTTGTCCTTCTGGCATGCCCAGATCCCCATTAAGGCCTGACACTGCAGGCTCGGGCACCACAGGAGCCACACCACAGTGGAACCTGGCAGTCTTAGCACTGACAGCTGGTACTAGGCGTGTAGTTAGAAGAGTTTAATAGAGTCCCATGGTAGGAACTCTGCTTTTGATTACTTAAAACAAATGTTTGCATACTTTGTGCATGCTAGGCAAGTGCTATACCACTGAGATATACCCCAGCTCTGGAACTGCAACTTTTAATTCCTTTTGATAAAGAAGACTATGTTGTAAATTATGAAATCATGTTTCAACATTTCCAAGGGCTGAAGTAACAAAATATTACCTGTAATCCTAGCTACTTGGGAGGCAGTGATGAGGAGGATCAAAGCTCATAGCCAGCCCAGCAAATAGTTTGCAAAACCCTATCTCAAAAATACCCATACAAAAAAGGGCAGTAGAGTGGTTCAAGTGGTAGAGTGCCTGCCTAAAAGTGTGAGGTCCTTGCTTATTTTCTGTCCTACAGTTTTGCTTTTCCAGAATGTTGTCTAGTGAACTAGAACAGTTTATAGCCCTTTGAGCGTAGTGCTATGAGATCTTCTTGGTAGTCACGTGTGTCAGTCCTGTGACCCTTCCTCTTGCTCAGGAGTATTCCACCATCAGCATGGACCACAGTTCATTTACCCACTTCAGTGACTGACGTTTAGAATATTATGAATAAACCCACCAAGAGCATTTAAATACAGAGTTTTCTTTCTTTCCCCTCCTTCTGCTTCCTCCCTCCCCATCCCTCCCTTCCTTCCTTTTTTTTTCTTTTTTGCAGTACTGGGGCTTGAACACAGGGCCTACACCTTGAGCCACTCCACCATCCCTTTTTGTGTTGGGTGTTTTGATAGGATCTGGAAACTATTTGCCAGGCTGGTTTCAAAACTATGGTCCTCCTGACCTCTGCCTCCTGAGTAGCTGGGATTACAGGCCTGAGCCACCAGCGCCCAGCCTTATCTTTGTGTTTTCTATGAAAACAAATCTATTGCAATTCTGAATGTGATTGCATTGAACCTGTAGACCTTTTGGGAGGAGAATTTGTATCTTTATAATATTGAGTCTTCCAATCCATGAATACGTTATATCTCTATATTTATTTAGGTTCTTTGATTTCTCTCATTAGTATTTTGTAAACTGACAGGTACATAGTCTGTATATCCTGGTATTTTGTTAGTTTTGTAACCATTTGGATTTTAGTGCATCTCAGTTTCTCGTTGTGCATACAATACAGTTGGTTTCATATTTTGACCTTGTGTCCTGTGACCTTGCATTTTCATAGATTCTTTGGGATTTTCTACACTATGTCTTCTTTAAATAGACAGTTTTCTTCTTCTCATTTGGATGCCTTTTATTTTTCTTACTTCATTGCATTGAGTTGGGCCTCCAACTCAGTGAGTAGAAGTGGTGAGAACTCCTTGCTTTGTTCGCATTATAAGAATGCCTGTGTTTCCTATTAAGAGTGTTGGTTAGCCAGTGAGTGGCCACCTGCAACCCCAGCTGTTGGAAGCAAAGACAGGAGGATCTCGAGTTTGAGACCATCATGGCTACATAGCAAGACCTTGTCTCAAACAAACAAACTCCTGTTGGCAAGAGGTTTTCATAAATAGATGCCCTTTATCAGGTTGAAGAAATTCCATCTATTCCTACTTTTTTGAGACTTTTTTTAAATCATAGATCAATGATAAATTTGTTCAGCACTTTTTGTGGCATTATGGGTAAAGTCATATAAATTTTTCTTTTGATTTCTTTTTTTAATTTAAAATTTTTTTATGTTAGTGATTGAACCCAGGGTCTTGTGCATGCTAGCAAGAGTTCTACCACTTAGCTATAGCCCCAGCCCTCAGTTTTTTATCCTGGCAAAATAACAACAAAAATTTACCACCTTCACTTTTGGTTTTTTTTTGGCACCAGGACATGGACCAACCATTTTAAAGTGTGGATTTCAGTCACATTAAATACATTCATACTGCTGTGTGTCCATTGCCACCACTGACCCACAGAATTTTCTCATCTTCCCAAACTGAAACTTTTTTCTTTTTGTGTGTTGTGTGTGTGTGTGTGTGTGTGTGTGTGGTACTACTAGGGTTTGAACTCAGGACTTCTCACTTGAGGGATACACTCTACCACTTGAGCCACTCCTCTAGTCCAGTGGCCAATGTTCTTAAAAATACCAGGTACCACCAGAAATCTGGGTAAACCTCTGAGATAAGCAGACCAATAGAAAAAAAACAACTTGGCAAATTTTGAGTGTGTTACCTTTATAAAATGGAGATATGTCTTGCAGAGTAAACATAATGTTAATCATAATATATAAAATGCAAACCACCTGGTGTATTAAAAAATGGCCAAAGCTGGATGCCGGTGGTTCAAACCTGTAATCCTGGCTACTCAGGAGGCAGAGATCAGAAGGATCACGGTTCAAAGCCAGCCCAGGCAAACAGTTCGTGAGACCCTATCCTGAAAAAACCCCTCACAAAAAAGGGCTGGTGGAGTGGCTCAAGGTGTAGGCCCTGAGTTCAAGCCCCAGTACCAAAAAAAAAAAAAAAAAAAGGCCAAGACAGTAAATTCCATATTACGTGTATTTTGCCACAAGTTTTCCAAAAAGCCAGAAGCCAGCCAAGGGCCATCTTTGTAAGCAGGGCCTTTTAATGACCAAGCTTGCTGGGTTCCCTCTTTACTGCATGCTGCCTTAGCATTTGGTTAATTTAAGTTCTGGCACTAGTATGTTACTAAAGCCTTGGAGTTACTTTTGAAAATGGGAGGTGTGAGTCTCCCAACTTTGTTCTTCTTTCTCCAGATTGTTTGGGCCATTCTGGGTCCCGTGGGTTCCCATATGAATTTATTTCAGGAACACCAAGTTGGTTTCTGCAAAGAAGTCAGCTGGGATTTTTTAGGACCACACTGAATTTTTATATCTTTAGGGAGTGTTTTCATCTTTTTTTTTTTATAGTTCTGGATCAAACCTAGCGCCTCACTCGTGCTCCGAGTGCAGGCTTGTATTCTTTTTGATGCTGTTGGAAATGGAATTATTCTCTTCATTGCATTTTCAGTTTGCTCATTGCTACTGTTTAGAAGTGCAGTCATCTCTCATGCTGCCTTGTACCCTGCAACTTTACTCAATTCTTCGTTCCAATAGTATTTAGGATTCCTTGGAATTTCTGCTAAAGATCATGTCCTCTGCAAACAGAGACAGCTTTACTTCTTCCTTTCCAGTTTGATGCCTTTTCCTTAATTTTCTTACTAATTGCCCTGGCTAGAACCTCCAGTACAATGATGAATACAAGAGGTGAAACCAAACATCTTGTCTTGCTCCTTTTCTTACTGTGAACAGATTCAGAATTTACCATTAAGCATGATGTTCACTGTGGATTTTGTACACTTAGGATATTCCCTTCTATTCTTATTTAACTGAATATTTTTGTCACAGAGTGTTGAATTTTATTATGTACTTTTTTCCTGTTTATTAAGATGAGCACATGACTTGGTGTAGTGAGGCAAACCTATAATCCCAATCATTGCAGGTTTGCAGATTTCTCTGTTCCAAATAGTTTTTGCTTTTGGTGTTTCAGAGTTGGAAAGCAGAAGTCATTTTCTTGCAGGGAGTTCTGGAGCACTATCCACTGACAAAGGGCAGTAGACAGCTCAGGAGAAAACCACTAGCCCAGGCTACAAGTTGGAGTCTGTTGACAGAAACCAGGAGCTTCTCTGCCATCATCATTCCCATAATGGCAGTTCTCATGTAGCACTGCAAAGCAGGGCAAAGTTATTTTTTATGGAATCAGTAGCTTGCAAGAAGTGAGAACTGAGCCAGGTGAGCCTGTGTTCTAGGGTGCATTTCCTGCCTGTGGCAGCTTACAGACGTGTCTCTCCACGAGCAGACCAGGCAGGCTTGCCCTACTTCCTTCCCCGTCTGCCTTGTTCTTGGCCAGCTAACCTGGTGGCATGGATGATCATCCACCAGCGTGCTTGCTTTTGCCCCTTTCCCCAGCCCGAGAGACCCAGCACCGATGGTGAGGAGACGGCAGACAGTGTGCGTTTGGTCAGCATCCGCACCCTCTACCTGGTCAGCACCACGGTGGACAGGATGAGTGACGTGAGTGTGTGTGCACCTCAGCAGAGTCTTAGTTCCAGGCCTGCTGCTCCTCCCTCCTCCTCTCCATGGTTTCCCACTCTATCCTGTGACTGAGTACCCTTCCTCCTCTTTATGCTGGGTGACAAGTGAACAGCAAAGTAGATATTGCAGTCTCTCTAGGGCAGCATCCGGGCAGCACTCTGAGGCCCTCTTAGCCTCAGGAAGACAAAGCTCTCTGTCCAAAGTTGAGCTCCTCAGGCTCTGCACTTGTGGGTCTGTCTGGCCTTGCCCCAGAGAGTGGCTCCTCCAGGGGTCTTCCTGGAAGCTGCACTCACCCAGCCCCACAGACCAGACCCCTCTGCTCCCCAGGTCCTCTGGCCCTACCTGTTCGAGTTCCTCACCCCGGTGCGCTTCACTGCAGCCCTGACCCCACTCTGCAGGAGCCTGGTGCATCTAGCTCTGAAGAGGCAGGAGGCAGGGGCAGACACCTTCCTGGTTCAGTATGACGCCTACGCCCACGGTTCGCAGGCTTCGGGGCCTGCCTCACCTCAGCCCCCACCCTAGCTCTCTGTCCTTGAGCAGGATCCCACCCCATCTGTGCACACTGCATTTGATCCCCAACCCTGATCCTGAGCCTGTCCTCACCTGGTAATTGTTTCCACGTCTCTTGTCTAGCAAACCTCCCGTCTCCCTACGCTGTGACCACGAGACTGCTGGTAAGGGAGCCTCACTCTTTCCAAGTGCACAACTGGTCACCACCCCTAAGTGGGAGACATTCAGCTGTTGCTAGTCTGGCCCTGGAGCCCTGGAAAGGGGTCTCCTCTGTGTTCCAGAGTCCCTGTCAGTCCACCTGGTGTTCCACATGCAACCCTTACTGCCTTCTCAGTGGGGAGTTACCAGTCACCAGTGTTTGCCAGACCTTCCTTCACCCCAAGGCAGCTTGCCCCTGTGCTGGTTGCTGTGGACCTTGGAGCTTTCCTGCCACATCTGCACCAAAGGCCAGGCCTGAGCATAGGTGCCAGATCCTATCTCCCCTCCCTCAGGTTGTGTCTTCCAACCCTTACCTGGGGGATGGACGGGGGGCAGCCTCACTGCGTCTCCTGAAGGTTCTGCACGGGAGCATCCACCCTTTGCTGGGTCAGCGGTGGGAGATTACTGTGCCCCTGCTGCTGGAGTACCTGGATGTGAGGCCAGGGGGTGATGGGGGCTGTGGTCCTGGAGGAGGGAAGAGCCCACCAGCTATTCTTAACTATACTTCTGCCAGGTGGCAGCAGGGCTTGCTGGTGCAGACTGGGGTTTTATAAGTTGGAAGAAATCATCTTAGTTGTGGTCAAAGAAAGGGCCTGACATCCTGAGGCTAGACAGGGCTCTCTGCTGGTTGCCATCTGGGAGCAGCGGACAGTGGGCACAGCCCAAGGCTGGGTTGGCTTCTGCTGCTGTGCTTTTCTTGCTCTTTCCAGGAGCTCCAGATGAGGGGGAGGTGCTGGGCACTGTGGCTCTCACTTGTGCATGTTGGGACAGGGCTGCCTGGAGGACCCAGGTCAACTGGCTACTATCTGGTCATTCAGAACACACTAAGGAAACACTGTCACAGAAGGAATGGAGGAAAAGCTGCTGGTGGTGAGATGAAACTGGGGGCCTGTCTGTGCTGGCACTGAGACATTCTCAGCATGGACGAGGGAGCTGGGGGACAGTGCTGGGAGGCTGCACCCTCCTAGGGGCATGGAGCTTGCTTCTACCTGATGGCGTGGCTTGGGGAGGGGCTCAGCAGCAGGGCATTTTCTGGGGTGAGGACAGTGGCCAGTCTCACAGATTGCTGTGAGACAGGGCTCTCACCCTCTAGCAGCCAACACCAAACTAGGGGTTTTTGGTCACCTTGGTATGGATCCTTCTCTCCCCCTATCTGTGGGACTAGAGTCTGTGCCCAGAGTCTGCCGCATCACTGCCCACTCAGGGCCTGCTCTGCTGTCCCATGCTTCAGCTCAAAGATCACTGAGGTCATCATTTGGTGACATGCCCAGGCCTCTGGCCCCTCCCAGCTACCCTCTCAGTGGTGCCCTTGTCCACAGTTCCTGCGGGACACTCTAGCTGTCATTTTCTGACAACATGTGATTTGCCAGCTGAGCCTGGAGATGTGCAAGCAGCTGCCCTCTTACAGTGGAACACCCCAGGAGAAGGTGAAGGGAAGGGCCAGCTTGGGATCTCAGTGTGGTCATCAGGCTCCAGTTCCTATGCTCGTCTCCCATGACCTGGTAGCCTGGGAGAGCCAAGAAAAGAAGGGGTAGTGAGCCTCCTCATAGCAGCTGGGAGATGGGGAAGTCCTCTGCCTGCCTGTTTTTTTTTTTTTTAAAGGATACAATTGAGCTTCAGTTGTTTTGTTTTTTTTAATTTTTTTGGTGGGACTGGGGTTTTTGAACTCAGAGCTTTGTCTTGCAAAGTAGACTTCTACCCTTCGAGCCACACTTCATTCCTTTTTGCTGTGGTAGTTTTTTTTTTTTCCCAGCTCTGGGGCTTGAACTCAGGTCCTCACTTGTGCGAGGCAGACATTCTCACCACTTGATCCACTCTGCCAGCTCCTCTGCCTGCCTCTTGTTCCTCAGTTGTGGCCCAAGACTCATCCCTTGATCCTCACAAGGGTCCCTCCCAAGTCCAGTTGGCAGTGCCCTCTAGCAGCAGTGCCAGTGGTAGCACAGGTGTCTGTATACTTAGGAGTTAGGCACATGTGTTCTCTAACTTTGTTTCAGAACTTCCTGTATAAATGCATAGGAACCACTCTGGGTGCTACTTCAAGCAAGGAGGTTGTGAGAAAACACCTGCGAGAGCTGCTGGAGACAGCCAGATACCAGGAGGAGGCAGAGCGGGAGGTGGGAAGCCCCCAATGCCTAGGACTGCCTGGCAGTGGTCACCTCCATCCTCTCTCGGGTGGCCTGTCAGCATGTGCACGTGTGTATTGTGAGATATGTATAGGTATGCACATGTGTGCACGGTGCACTGTCTGCAACCATATATGAGTGCATGTGTTCATATGTGTGTGTGTTCCACCCCACACAGAACACATAGGTTAGCAGGGCCTCCCTGCCCCAGAGTGAGCACACCTGTGTGTCTCCCCAGGCCTCGCCTGTTGTCTTGGATCTGTGCCATCACCCACCTTGAGGATACCCTGGCACAATTGGAGGACTTCGTGAGGTCCAATGTGCTTAGGAAGTCCATTGGAATCTTCAGCATTTTTAAGGTATGGAGGTCACAGTCCAGGATGGAGGTATGGATGGGAGACTGTTGTCCCTGCAACCACCCTGCAGTTCAAGGTCTTGAGAGTGGAATAGGGGTCCTGCTCTTGAGAGCAGCTGTGTCTTTTCACATGATTGAGGCTGGGGACTGAAAATGTAGGCTTGGCATGGAGTAGGAAGATGGCACCCTGTCCTGTAGCAACTTTACTTTCTGGGTGAAGTTTCCTTCCCCTGGGCCTGAGATCCCTCCCCTGGGCCAGTGTTCCCTGCTCAGAAGATGGGGCAGAAGACCTTCTAGAAGCAAATCTAGCTAGTGACCAATGTGCCACCGTGATGAGAGGGGGTTCGGGTTAGCTGGGATAGTATGTTAGCTTTCCATCACTTTGACAAAATACTTGAGAAAATCAGTTTTGAGGAGGAAAGATTTATTTGGCTCATGGTTTCAGAGGTTTCAGTCCATGTTGGCTTGGCCTGGCTGTTTTTAGGTGAAAGGGTGAGGTGGAGGACAGCTGCCCACCTCATGGTGGACAGGAAGCAGAGAGAGAGAGCTCAATTTTTTAACAAAGCCCCTCCTCCAAGAACCCAAGCTATGAATCCACAAATGGATTAATCCATTGATGAGGTCAGAGCCCTCATGATCCAATTACCTTCAGAGGCCCCGCCACTGAACACTGCTGTCCTGGGGACACATGAGCTTTGGGGATATTTCAGATCCAAACCATGGCAGGTGGGGAGCCTGAAAGCTGCTCCCTACTGTGTGGCCATTTTATCTGCATCCATCTTTGCCCAAGCAGAGATCCTGTTCTTACCAGAGCAACTGCTGTACTCATAGCCAAGGCCTGATTTAAGGAAGGGACGGATCACCCTGTCCATCCCTACCCCAGGACCCTGTTGTTCCTCTCTTCTCTTCTTTTGAGACAGGGTTTTGTTATGTAGTCCATGCTGTCCTTGAACTCACAATCCTCCTGCCTCAGCCTCCTGAGTGCTGAGAATACAGGTATGCTCCACCATACCAGCTCTGTGTCTGGTGATTGCCCTAGTTATAGAACTTCAGGGCTGGCCCAGGTATACAAGCCCTGCCCACCCTCTCTGGTGCAGAGGTGGACAGGAACCCAGGATAGAGGGCTGGTCTGGAGCCACAACCCTGCTACCTTCTAATGGCCTCTGCTCTTCCACCTGCTGGCCCTTCCTACCATGTTTCCACTACCTCATCCCTTTCTCTCTTCCACTTGTTCCTGGTGGACCTGTGTTAGCCAGCTGACCTGGCCTGCCATCCCTGGATGGCACACTGAATTATGCCTCTGGTGTTGGTGGATGGCTCTGGTCCTTCCAGGACTAAAGGAGTTCAGAAACGCATGGTTTCTGTCCAGTGCTTCCTATGGGAGAATTGTTAACTGAGTAACCAGCATCCTGCTGATTCCTCTGCCTGGCAGGATCGAAGTGAGCATGAGGTGGAAAAAGTGAAGAGTGCACTGATCTTATGTTATGGGCATGTGGCGGTGCGGGCTCCCCGCGAGCTGGTGCTGGCCAAGGTGGAGTCGGACATCCTCCGCAACATGTCTCAGTGCTTTAGCACCAAGGTGAGTGCTTTGGCCATTTGTGGGGGCTGGTCACATGACACTGGAGTCTCATGTTTTAATTATTTCACTCTTTGTTGTTCAGGTTCTGGGAATAAAGGTAGAGACCAAGGTACAGTGTGTAGGAATCGTGTGGAAACTGTGGTTTTCTCTCTCTCCTCTGTGCTGGGCTTTGGGGCAGAGCCAGACCCTGAGCTCACTGGGTTTCCTGGCCTGGGCCTGGGAGGAATGCTTTACATATGGCTCCAGGGTCTTCTTCCCGCTTCCCTTTGGAGTAGCTTCTCTTCCTGGGGCTGGCCTGCCACCTGTGGCTGAAACCCCCCACAGCCCAGTGACAGTCCCGAGGATTTTCTGGCTCTGCTCCCTGATGCCTCAGGGATATCCCTCTCTAGACCCCAGCAAATGGCTAGGGGAGGCTGAGCCCAGAGACAGTGAAAATGGGTTGCAGGTTCCCCTGGCCTCACTAACATGTTTCCCTTCTGACATCCCTGGCATTAACCTGACCTCTCAGGGAAATTGGCCCTTTTGAAGAGCAGAACCTTCTGGGGCAGGCCAGGATGGTGGGGCTCTTCCCAGTTTCTTGTTCCCTATTCTGCTAGAGCAGGAGGGGCTGGCCTTCTGTGTGCTCAAGATGGCTTCCCTCATGCCAGACAGCCCAACAGTGAGGCTCTCTGTCTTGGGTGTCCAGCTACACCACACAGTACCTGCTCTGTGGACTGCCTGCCCAGGACCTTGACCCTGGGTTTCAGGGCTCCTCTTTGGCGAGGAGGCTGATGGAGAGCTTCACGATCACAGTAGCCACATCTCTGATTGCACAGGGAAGAAGGGCGTGTGAGCCTCTGCTGCTGTTCTCAGCCCTTTAGCTGCTCCAGGTTGAGCAGCACTGGGGATGGGGTTGAAATATTCCTGCAGCCAGGTGTTCCTCCAGGACCCAGCTCTGAAGCTGTGCCTTGTCCAGAGCCTGTGTATGGTCAGCCAGGCTGTCTGCAGCAGCGCACAGGCCAGCGCCTTCTACTTCTCCAGGAAAGCAGAGCTGGTGGCACAGATGATGGTGAGTGATGGGTGGGTGCTGCTGGCAGGCAATGGAGAGTGACCCGGAAAGATCTGAAGGATGAGCATGTGGCCTGGGGACATAAGGAGGAGCTCTGTGAGTTTTCCTGTGCCTTGGAGGCCCCAACCACTCCCTCAGGGTGAGAAACAGACTAGCACTAGGAGACACTAGTGCCTCCTCCAAGAGCCAAGTTCTGTGTTCCCTCACCCAGGAGTTCATCAGGGCGGAACCCCCGGACTCTCTGAGAACACTCATTCGGAAGAAAGCCATGTTGGCCTGCACTTATCTGGTGTATCCTTCCTTAACTCTGTGTGTATCTGTGTTTTCATGCATGTGCTGTGCGGGGTGTAGCTGTGAGCCTGAACTATCTGAACATGGCAGTGACTGTTCAGATCCACACAGGCCTAGAGGTGTTTGGGGGACTGGGCTAGAGAAAACCTGGCACAGGAGTCTTCACTTGGGGCCCTTAACTTACGACTCAGCAATTTGGAGCCGGCACTGGAAGAACAGGCACAGGCCGATGTGATCCATGGTTGCCTACACAGTGTCATGGCCCTGCCTCCTGAGTCCAACGGGGAGGACAGTATGTGCCAGGAGGTATTGTCATGTGTCCCTCAACTCATGCCTGTGACCATAGTGGGAAGGCTATTGTAGATGGTGGGGTCATGCCTGTGACCAGGTGGCCTGGCTGTCCTTCTAGCCCCTGTATCTGGACACCATGCATGCCCTTGAGGATTTGCTGACGAGCCTGTTGCAGCGGAACATGACACCTCAGGGCCTGCAGCTCATGATCGAGGTGAGCAGTGGGTGTATACTGTGGTGGGATAGGGTTGGGGTCGGGCTGGCGTGCCACCTAGCTGCCAGCCCCTTTTCTGTTCTTCCGCCCACCTCCATGGTACTGAAATGGAGAACATGAGTCCTAAATATGACCTTGTGACCAGCTGGGGCTAACAAGATGGTGAGACACAGGCCCTGTCACACCACTCCATGCCTTCCAACAATGTAGTAGGCTAGGACAGCACCAGTCCCTTGCCTACACACCTGTTTTAATAGAACTGGTTTGCTGTCAGTCACCAGGTGGACAGTGTCTGTGATCTACATAGAACAGAGTGGTGGCAGGGGCTTGCTGCAGTAGGCCTTGATATTGGTGTCACACTGGGTCCCCTGCTTGGCTCCCTGCAGCTCTAGAAGGGTAGCCTGGTGGGGACACTGAGCTAGTCCTCAGGGAATGGGCTCATCCTCCTGGGATGCCTCCCAAGCTGCCACCTGTGTGAAGCCCCCTCTTCTATAGCACCTGAGCCCATGGATCAAGTCTCCGAGGGGCCACGAACGGACACGGGCAGTTGACCTGAGTGCCTGCCTGCTGCAGTACTTCTTGGAGCACCTGCACGTCAGTGTGAGTTCTGGACTAGGCTGTGATGCTGTTCCTTGCTGCATCCATACTCCTTCCCTGGGTCCCTCTACTTGGGAACAACTGCCTGTGGTCCTCATATCCCAGAACACATTACAGGCTCCATGGCCTTCCTCCTGCTGCTTCTCTAGCTTGTTCCACAGTCCTCTCTGACATGGATGGAAGACCTGTCTTGGCCAGGAACTGCCCTGGCCTCAGGTGGGGTTGAGCCAATGGTGCCCAAGATGACATACCCAGATCTTTACTGCCAAACTGCTTGGTTTGACTGACAGTGTTTATTTTTTTATCATGTTCCAGAAGCATCTGCCTATTTGTGTTAATGAGAACTATGTAGTTTCTGATAGTGGCACAGACACCGGATTTTTACAAGCATCTCTTTGTTACTTATCATGATTATTGAGGGCTTTTTCTCTTGGAGTTGTGTTTGTTATGTGTCAGAACTTTTTCATTTTCTACGTAGCAAATCTGGTGGTTTCTTGATTGGCTTGCATCTCCGTGCATTCTTAATGTACTTTTACCACCATATGCAGGAGGATTAGGTCTGGTCAGCTGAGCAGATCCTATGCTGGTGTGAAGGGAGAAGAAGCATACTGGGGGCCATAACAGCCACAGGGAGGACCCAGGGCTGTAGGGCACAGGACACATAGCTCTCCCCAGGTCCTGGTGGTATAGGACCCCCACCATTCCTCCTCTCCCGCCACATACTGTCTCCACTCCAGGCCCTGGTGCCCTTCCACAACTTGGGCCTCCTCGTTGGACTCTTCTCCCCACGATGTGCAGACACATGGCCTGCTACCCGCCAGGAGGCTGTGGGCTGTGTCTATTCCCTGCTGTACTTGCAGCTGGGCTATGAAGGTGAGCTCTGATGAAGGTGTAGGGGGTTGTGGTTGGCAGAGGGGCTGGAAGGGATCAGGCATGGAGTTCAGGCTGTAGGATCACCAGCAAAGGCCTCAGCCCAACTCCTTCTGCATCCTTAGGCTTCTCCCGAGACTATCGTGATGACATGGCTGAACGGCTCCTCACCCTCAAAGATGGCCTTGTGCACCCTGACCCCACCATCCTCTTCCACACCTGCCACAGCATAGCCCAGGTAGGAACACCTGCAGACCAGCAGTGTCTGCAACTGAGAGGGACTTGTGAGGGAGCACCTGACACCTCTAGCTCAGGGGCACCTGGCTGATGGGTGGGAACGGGTTTCATCCAGGGAATTTGTCAGTGGCCACATCTGACCAACACTGCCCATGTCTCCCATGCCTGCCTGCTGCAGGGCACCACAGCCCATGCAAGAGAAAGGTGCTCTGTGTTGGTGAGACCTTGGCAGAGGCCCAAGAGGGATCAGGGTGCATTAAGGCCTAGCTGGCCCAGTGACTGCCTGCTGCCTGCACTTCCACCTGACCTCTACCAAGGATGGGGGGGCGGGGCAGTGCTGGTGTTTGTGTGAGCAGCTCTGAGCTGATGCTTACCAAGAGCCACCCAAGCAGGTCACCAAGGGGCCGTGGCCTCTATCTTGCCCTCAGAGGATCCAGAGGTGGGCTCTGCCTTTGTTTCCTACTGGTTGAGGTGCTTTGTCCCACTGTATCAGGAGGCAGCTTTATGGGTCAGGGTTTCCCCTTCATGCCCCATGTCCTCCTGCCCTCCCAAGCATGGTGTCCAGCCTGAGTCTTCCTGCCCATAACCTGTCCGGTGTCCACTTGCAGAGGCCCAAGTCTCAGGTCCCAGGCAGAGGAAAATGGAAGGGACGGGGTCACTAAGGCTCTTTCTGGGGGAACTTGGGTGTTGGGAAGGAAAAATCCAGCCCTGAGCCAGTCAAGGTGGAGCAGCAGCTTTGAGGTTTAGGATCAGCCACTGTGATATCTTTTATCCTCTTTGTTGTGGATTTTGTTCTCTCTTGACTGTGGTGCACTTTCCTTGCTTTTCCTCCTTGCCTGTTTCCTAAGCTAAGGTGAGAAGAAAAGGAGCTTCTGTCCATTGCTTACCTGGAGAGAGGAGCTAGGTTGTTCCTGGGGCACTCCAGTGCAGGAGGGCTGCTGACCTGCCCTTGACTCACTGAGTTTTAGACAGTTCCCAAATAGCCCCAGGAAGAACCTGGCACTCCCCTGGTCAGAGTGCCCTGCTGTGTCCCCAGCCTTGCAGCTGCCAGGGACCACCTTCCTGGTATAGCCCCACACTGGGGCTGGGAGGGTGGTAAAGGGCCCGAGGCAGGAAGACTTCAACCCCCTGAGAAACTACACAGAAAGCAGTTTTGTTTAGGGGCCAACACCTCTTCTTTGTTTTTTTCTGGCACTCTTTTCCCAGATTATTGCGAAACGCCTCCCGCCAGACCAGCTCATCAGCCTCTTGCTCACCATGTTTGAGGGCCTGGTAGACCCTGACAAGAACTGCTCCAGAGCAGCCACGGTCATGATCAACTGCCTGCTAAAGGAGCGAGGCAAAGTGCTATTGGAGAAGGTGAGGGTGTGGGGGCAGGACCAGGGTGGGGCGTGTTGTGGGGGTGGGCCTGTGGGGGGTGGGGCTGGAGCCAGGGACCCAGTTGCTGCTGGCCTGGGCAGAGTGGGGCTGAATAAATGGAGCCTCACAGATCTGCTCCCTTTCACTTGGGCCTGATAAGGAAAAATCTTTTTCTTATATCTGAAGACAAGTTAGAATTTGATAAAAGCAACTCTGCTAAGAAATTAAGAGGGAAAAAAGAAATCAAAAGAAGAATGCAAGCCAGGTGCAGTAGTGCCTGCCTGCACTTCCAGCTATTTGGGTAGCTGAAGCAAGAGGATTGATTGTCTGAGCCCTAAGCTTCAGCCTTATTCTGGACACCAGGCCCCCACACAGAGGGCTGCTGCTCAGCCCCATTGCTCCCTCGTGCAGCCATGCATCTGGAGGGCCTCCAGCTGCACACTTGTCCTCTCGTGGTTGTTTCTAAATGTGCACTGGAAGCAACTGCAGCCATCCCTAGGTACTCAAATATGAAGTGAGGTTGAAGCATGTCTCTCTGCTCAGTCCCACCTGGCTCTGATGGGCTGGCTGGCTGGCTGTAGAATGGCTGTTAGAGAATCTTGGAGAGGCAGAGGGCTGGGTTCCACTGGGAACAGAGGTGTCAGGAGTTCACATAGACATCCATCCATAAGCCAGTTCCGAAGCTCCTTCCCCACTCCGTTTATGTCCATGTCACAGCACCACACAAGTGTCCTGGTTTGTGGGTCTGCAGGTAATGTTAGGGTGAGACCATCCACGTTCCCACACTGACCCACTGCTTGCTTCTCACTGTGAGTGTTTCACTGGTTCATCTGCCTCCTCTGAGTATCTGGGCAGTCCCTGGTCTGGGCTGTCTGAAACAGAGCTGCCAGGGTCCCTGGGCCTGAGGGCATATCTCAGGCAGGGCACACTGGGGAGCAACAGCATTGCTGAGCAGGGTCTGATGGGTAAGCATGCCCCAGCAGCGTTCAAAGCTCTGTTTCCTGTACTTTTCTGGTAGGCATGTGTTGTTTTGTGTTAGGGGTTTAGTTTTCATTCTCTGATGACTAGCATATTGCTGGCTGCTTGGATGCCTTTTGCCCATTTTTCCAGTTTGTTGTCTATCCTTTTCTTATTGATTTATGGGAGTACCTTATGTATTCTGGATACAGTTCTACTACTGGATATATGTCAGGAATGGACAAGCAGGAACTTGCCAGTGGAGAAGAGAGGACAGTGTCCAACAGGACCCTCAGGCCTGGGGAGTTTCGTGTCGTGTGACCTCTAGAGAGGTATAGTGACCAAGTGCCATTGTGTGGCTGATAGAAGAGGCCAACGGTGTGGAGATGCTGCCTCATGGGACCCAGGAAAGTGAAAGGGGCACACCTGTGACATTCGGGTCCACCTGGCACAGGTCTAGGTTTTATTCTGAATGCATGGGGCACTCCAAGTCAGCCATCAGAAGACCCTCAGCAGCAGCTCCTCTGTGCAGATAGAAGGGGAAGAACCAGGCTGCCGGTGGAGGCCACTAGGTGTGGTGTTAGTTCTGCTGTGTTTATATTCTACATTTTGCTTATCCATCATTGGATGGTGGACACTTAGGTTGAATCTACCTGACTATTGTGAGTTATGTGGCAGTGAACACAGGTGCACTAATATCTTTGTGTGTGTGTGTGTGTGTGTGTGTTGTGTGTGTGGTACTAGGGATTGAACCCAAGTCTTCTTGCTAAGCAAGAGCATTACACTTGAGCTGTGCCCCGTAGTCCTTTAGTTTTTACTTTGTTTTTGAGGTGCGGTGTTGCTACTTTTATGGTCCTGGCCTCCTGCCTCTGCCTCCAGAGTACTAGGGTTATAGGTGTGAGCCACCACACACAGCTCACAAATATCTCTTCACTTTTCTGCTTTAGATTCTTTTGGATGTATACTTAGAGGTTTGGTTGCTGGGTTGTGTGGTAACTCTATGCTTAATTTTTTGAGGAACCTCCATGCTGTTTTCCACAGCAGCTATACCATTTACATTCCCACCTGCAGGGCACAAGGGTTCCAGTTTCTCCGTGTCCTCTTCAACACTTGTCTTCTTCTTATAGTGGCCACCCTGATGGTGTGAGGTGTCTCTCACTGTGGTTTTGATTTGCATTTCCTGGTGACAATGGGGAACACCTTTGCATATATTTTTGGCCAGCTGTGTATTGTCTTTGGAGAAAATAAGTCCTTAGCACATTTCATAATCAGGCTATTTGATGTTTTTGTTGTTAACTTGTAGTTCTTTACATACATTTTGGATATTAACCCCTTAACAGATATCTAATTTTCAGATATATGCTTCATTCTGTAAGGTGCCTTTTCACTCTGATTTGTCCTTTATACCTAGTCCATTTGCCTATTTTTGGTTTTTTGATTGCACTTTTGGTGTCATGTCTGAGATATCATTGCCTGTTGTCATGAAACCTTTGCCCTGTTTTCTAGCTTTGAGTCCCTCTTTTCTTGATACAGCCAGGTGCCCCTCTAAGGGCCTGACATACTGAGCCTGTCACCATGGCCCAGCCAGGAGCAGTGTTGCTGACCCCCCACCCCCCTACTTAGACTTTTTAATAAGTATTTATTTAGTTAGTTAGTTTTGGTGGAACTGGGGTCTGATCTCAGGGCCTCATGCTTGCTAGGTACTCCATCAGCCTACCCTAGACTTTTTATGGGTCTGCACCACAGCATATTGGTCACACTTGATATGCTGTTTCATGGGCCCATCAGGGTCATAGACACCCTCCTTTATTTTTTCTTTTTCATTTTCCTTTTTGTTCTTTGAGGCAGGGTCTCACTATATAGCTCACACTAACCTCAAACTCACTATGCAGCCCAAGCTGGCTTTGAACTCATGATCCTTCTACCTCAGTCTCCCCAGTATTATGATTATAGGTGTTTGCTCTGCTCCCATGCTTGGCTAAAAAATCTCCTTTTTCTCGCCTGTCGTGAGGTATCCTGGCAGGGAACTATTAGAGTCTGATGCTGTTAGATGTCGGGACTCTCTTGCCATTGAATCAGGAAGTATAATACCAGCAGGTGACATAGCTGGGCTGAGCCCTACCCAATATGATATGATGGTGAATAAAGCACACTGTAGACTGAGTGTGGAGGCAGCTGGAGAACAGCCAATCCCCCAGGGCCTGTGTTGGATGGTGAGAGGGGAGGGTCTTCTGTGGGTTGAAGGAACATGTACCAGAAGCCCAGGAAACACCAGGAAAGGGGGGATTCCAATTAAGCAAACAGCTAGGAGTGGAAAAGAGATGCTCTGTGAAAACAGTCTGCCAAGTACTCAGAAAGTTAGATCCAGAACCACACATGACCCACCAACTCCAGCCCTAGGTACATACCCAAGAGGACTGAAAACATGTACCCACAAAAACTTGTGCACAAATGTTCATAGCAGCAGTATTCAAATATGTACCAGTTTGTGAATGAGTAAAGAAAGTGTAGTCCATCCATACAATGGAATAATACTTGGTCATATGTAGGAATGAAGCACTTAACACGTGCTACAGCAGGGATGAACCTTGAAATTATCATGCCAAGTGAAAGGAACCAGACACAAAGGCCACGTTTATGTGAAATGCTCGGAATGGCAGCTCCACAGAGAAGAAGATAGATTAGAGGTTTCCTGGGGCTGGGGAGGGAGATGAGCATGAATGGTCACGGGGACAGGATTTCTTTTGGGGTTATGGAAATGTCGTGAAATTGGCTGTGTGGTGGGTGCACAGCTCCATCAGTTGCTAAAAACAGTCATGATGGGCAGACTTGGAGGCTTCTGGACAGCACTCTGCAAAGATGTGTGAACAACTGGCCCAGACCAAGCTCCACAGGGCCTCAGGGCAAAGGAGCAGGGCCATAACCCAGAGGCGGGTGCAGGGCTGGCAAAGGTCTAAGCAGTGGGATGTGAGCCTGGAAGGTGTGGGACGTGGGCTCTGCCTGGCATGGTGGGCAGCTGGAAATTCAGCAACCTTGTGAGACCAGGTAGACCTTGCCTACCTGCTCAGGATGCGCTGAACTTGAGTGTGAGAGCAAACACTCAGAGGTTCTAAGCTAGGAAATGGTGTGGAAACAGGCTCCACCTGCAAGGCCTTCCACACCTAGCCTCTGTCCTCACAGTTGGTGAAAAGTGCTTTGCAACAAGCCTATCTGCAAAAGTCACTGTCCTGAGAGCCAGAAGTCTCAAAACTTCCTTACTGCTAAAATTTGCAGAAAGAGGCTGGGAGGGTGGTTCAGTGGTAGAGTCCTTGCCTGCATGTACGAAGCACTGGGATTGATCCACAGTACCACTAAACTTCCCAAAAGCACTTGGCAGCAAACGGATTCCATACGACTGAGGCAGCCAGCCTGTCAGCGGTCCACAGCTGGGCTGGGTGTAAAGTGGAGCCAGGAGATAAAGGCAAAGGAATTCAGGTGGATAGTAGGAGGCTGCTATGAGTGAGCTGTGAACTGAGTTGGCTGGGGAGTCATCCACTTTCTGCACTGAGGTCTTAGATAAGTCCAATGTCGACACGCTCACAATGCCTCTGAGCACAGCAGTGGCTCCCCACATTCTTTGCTCCCTCCACAGTGCCCCCAGTGACACCAGACACAAATGGAGGGGGTGGAGCCTAGTCATTTGTAGGGGAGGAGGGAAAACTGGGGGGGAAGGGGTTGGAGTCTCTTCCAGCTGGCTGCTCTTGCTTTCTGAACTTCCTTCTTGGCTTGGACAGGCTCTTCTCATCTCTCTAGTTGCCCAGGCCGTCTAGTGGGTCCCTTGGCCACAGATAAGAAGTGACTCCAGAGTAGCTCGAGTGGTAGAGCACCTACTTAGCAAGCATGAGGCCATGAGTTCAAACACCAGTGCCACAAAAAATAAGTCTCCTTGAGCTGGGTGTTGGTGGCTCACACCTGTAATCCTAGCTACTCAGGAGGAAGAGATCACGAGGATTGAGTTTCAAAGCCAGCCTGGGCAAATAGTTTGTGAGACCTTATCTCGAAAAAATCCATCACAGAAAAGGACTGGTGGAGTGACTCAAGGTGTAGATCCTGAGTTCAAACCCCAGTACCACAAAAAAAAGAAAAAAAAACTCTAGTCCTGGGCACAGTGTGCCAGCTGCCCCAGGGGACAAGTGTGACCACCCCGTTACAGCATTCTCCAGTCCTGCAGCTTCAGTAGTGGGGGGTCACCATGGCTGGGACTGGAGAGGAGACTCACAGGCCAGGACCCCCATGGGCATCAGGGATCCACTACACAAGATTGTGCCTGGTTGGGTGCCAATGGCTCACACCGGTAGTCCTAGCTACTTGGGAGGCAGATATTAGGAGGATTGAGGTTTGAAGCCAGCCCAGGCAAATAGTTCGTGAGACCCTATCTCAAAAATACCCAAACACAAAAACAGGGCTGGTAGAGAGGCTCATGTGGTAAAGTATCTGCCTAGCAAGTGTGAAACCCTGAGTTTAAACCCCATTACTGCCAAAAAGAAAAAAAGAAAAAGACTGTGCCTAGACCAGGCCCACATGTTGGAGGCTGGTTGGGGGACTGTAGAACCAGACCTCTGGGCTTGGGGTAGGTCTGGGAACCCTAGGGCCAGAATCTTCCCCACTCACCTACCCACATTCCTCAGTGTGCCTGATGCTTGCTTTTTGCAGCAACAGGACACCTGCATATTCAGGCAGATGTTGCCCGCAAGTCCCACATCCTCCTTTTCCAAGCCTGGCTCCAACCTCAGTCTTACTTTGGGGTCCATTGCCTCCTTCTTGTCCCCTATCCCAGTCTGACTCCTCTAGGACCCTGCTAGGGTCCTACCTCTAGCAGCCAAAGGCTGGGTCACAGGAGCACTGTGCAGCTTAAGGTGCCTCCAGGTTCTGTTGGCCTAGTGCTCAGCCCAGCAGCCGTCCCCCTGTACCCTGGTACCTTGTGCCCCATACCAGCTCCTGGGCCCTCACCTGCCAGTGGGTGCTTACCTCTATTTTTTTTTTTTTTTTTTTGTGGTACTGGGGTTTGAACTTGGGGCCTACACCTTGAGTTATTCCGCCAGCCCTTTTTTATGGGTTTCCTTGAGGGAGGGTCTCAAGAACTATTTACCTGGATTGGCTTCGAACCATGACCTTCCTGATCTCTGCCTTCCTTTGTAGCTAGTATTACAGGCATGAGGCCACCAGCACCTGGCTTTCTTTCTTTCTTTCTTTCTTTTTTTTTTTTTTTTTTGATCTTGAGATCTAACCAGGGTCTTATGCATGCTAGGCAAGCACTCGACCACTGAGCTTCAGCCCACTTGTCTCTTTCCATGTGGAATCTGAATCTGGTTCTGATATCAAAGTTCTTAGTTGGTCGTGGGGTTGGCCTGGACTCTGTATAGGCTGGTGGCCAGCAGTGAAGACTTGTGGATCTGTAGGGACTCCCTTCCACATAGCTCAAGCTAGTGGTACTCACCAGAGACATCTGTGGGTCCTGCGCCTTGGGCCTGGCATGGGTGAATGAATGCCCTGGGCCGTCCCAGCTGTACAGCCTAACCATCCCATCTACAGGTACCCGAGATTGTGAGCGTGCTGCGCTCCAAGCTACAGGAGACCCAGGAGGAGCATGTCCTGCCAGCTGCCCAGCACAGTGTGTACCTCCTGGCCTCCCAGCACTGTGCAGCTGTGGTTTCCAGCCTTCTGGGAAGTCCCCTGCCATTTGACAGGTACCCAGTGCCCACAAAGGAGGATAGGGAGAGAGGAGTAAGGGGCCCATCCCCAAGAGTGAGCACAGGAAGGGCCTCAGTAAAGCTCTGGAGAGGGACAGTGCTCATGGGTGCCTGAGAGGTGGGGCCTTTCTTCACATGACCGTACCAGGAGCCAAGAACCATGGAGACTCATGCAGAAAAGCTGGGGTGCAGAGGCAGGTGGGGGCTAGGGGAGTGAGTACCATGGCAGGTAGGAAGAACTCAAGGCTGGGGTCTCTACAGGGGCCTGCACCTACCAGGCTCATGGGCACTAGGAGAGTGATTCCTGGAGGCCTCCGAGCTGAGCGAGGTGGTGTTGCTCCCTCCTGTAGGGACATTGCCCTGTTATTAGCTAGAGTGCCCTTGAGTATCTCCATCAGCTCTCATTCTTTTTCGTATGTTTGGAGGCTGTGCATCAGGAGTGAATAAACTAGTGTTTTGTTCCCTGGTGACCTACTTTTTGTCCATGCAGGTGACTTTGATGCATTTGTCTGATACCTGCTTTCCTTTCTCTTAGTGTCTGCCTTTTTACATTACACTGTTCCTGACTGTTCCTTTTAAACAGTGAAGAGCTACACTTTATTTTATTTAATTTTTTTTTTTTTACAGTATGGGGGATTTGAATTCAGGGCTTTGTGCTTGCAAGGTGGTCCTCTACTGCTTGAGCCACACCTCCAGTCCAAAGAGCTGTATTTCACGGGAGAAGTAGATTTAAATCCACTGTCTCTGCCTCTTTGTCTCACCTGTTGTTACTTTTTAAAATATTCTTGTGCTTTTTAGATAGACAGGGTCTCTCACCATGCTGCTTCTCCCACTCACTTGGTTTGGCCTTCATACATTGTGGTCGCCCTAAAAATGCCTCAAGTGTCACTGACCAGGCCCAGTTTCTCAGACTTCATCGGCCTCCCTATACACAGAGGTGTGGTTTCCTGCAGGTCCAGCACTGTCTGAGCCTCTGTCTGTCTGCTGCCTTCAATGCCTGACTTTCATATGTCCTGGTCCTTTTTGGCCTAGACTGAAGGAGACTTCCTCTGGAAAAGTCTTGTGTTTGCTTCTAGCAGCCCCTAGGGATCCTCCTCCCCTGCCTCAGGTCCTCTGTGTGCAGGACCCGATTTTTCTTCCTGTCCTTTATTGCCAGTTCTGTTTCCAGACCCTTGAGATCAGAGAAAGGGGAAAGTTCAGATCTGAGGTCAGAGTGCCATTTCCCTCCCTGCTAGAGCTGAGTGGGGGTATACCCAAGCCCTGTGGAGCTCTGGGGGAGGGACACAGCACAAGGCAGTGGTGGGCAAGGACTCCTGGCCTGGTGGTGCTGCGGCCAGCAGCAGCAACCTGTGATGCTCCTCCCTCCTGCTCCAGCCACACTTGTGCCCTGTGGCGGGCGCTAGCCGTGGAGCCCAGCCTCACCACCCAGGTCCTGGGGCTACTCCTGGAGAAGATGAGCAGGGACGTCCCGTTCAAGGAGAGCAGGACTTTCCTGCTGGGCAGCACCCCTGACCGAGTGGCTACGCTGCTGCCCCTTGCGGTGAGTAGGAGCTCCTGGGGCCACCTCATACACTGTCCCTGCCCCCCCACGGGAGGCCTGGGTGCCCTGAAGGCACCTGGCAGCTGTGCTAGGGCTCGGGTGCCATGAGCTTGGAGCCCAGGCTCATAAAGCCCGGCAGGTGTTGGCCCCCAAGGGGACCCACTTCGCGTTTTATCCTGCGGAAAAAAAAATAAACCCAGCCTGGCCACATTTTAAGCAGTAAAGCAGCTGTGAGAATTTCCTCTCCTCCCTTCTAAGGAACTAAGAACAGATGGTCTGAGGCCCATCACTATGAAAGCTGCACTGCCCCTCCGTACTGCCTCCGGGCCAGGGTTCTGTCTGCCCCATGGCCCCTCAGGCTCCTCTGCTTCTGCCTGGGGACCCAGGAACCCCCACTGCATGGGCAGTGCCAATGGACTTGTGCCCCTTCAGATCCTGGAGGGTGCAGATGCTGCTGTGGCCTAGAGGGAGGTGTGACCCTGTGGCGGCCCCCTCCCCAGGCCACCTGTGCACTGTATGAGGTTGTGTCTGCCCCAGCATCGGGGACTGCAGTTCTCGAGCTCTACCCCCAGCTTTTTGTGGCACTCTTGCTGAGAGTTAGCTGCACTGTGGGTGTCCAGCTGCCCCGAAACCTGCAGGCCAAGGAGAAGAGGAGCACCGGCACAGCCCCAGTTGCCAGGAACCTTGATCCCTGCAGGTAATGTCCTCACCTGCCACCCCCAGTGCTAATTTGTAAGCACAGATGAATAGGCATGCTGTGTGTGTTGCAGGCAGGGAGGGCAGGGTGCCAGCTGCCTGAAGGAGAGGACATGAGGCCAGTATTATGTCATCTGGACAGTGGGAGATCCAGTAGTGAGCTTGCTCCCAGAGAGCCACACCTCTCCCGGGTGTAGGGCAAAGTAGTCCTTATGAACTCCACAGACACACTGTTAATGCAGGGAGCTATCTCCCCATCTGGAACTTCCCTGGGTGTCTTTGCATTTCTGCAGGCAGCTATGGGGTACATGTGTGTATGACTGCAAGTACATGTGGGGTGCTCGGATGAGGGTGAGCTGGTACCCTCTTGAAGGTGGGGCTGTGGGGGAGTCTTGGTTTGAGCTGCGACCTATGTGGAAGGCAACTGTCCTGGCAGAGCAGCCTTGATGTGTGCTTGTGGCCCAACGCAGGAGTTTTAAGGGTGCCCTGGGTCTCATGGGGGGTTCCACATCCATTCCCCTTGATGTCATTGGACTGGGGTCTTCTGGTCCCTGCTGAGGGAGCCTTGGGTCCTAGGGCAGGAGATAAGCAGTCGGCAAAGTGAGCTGCTTGTGGATGTTGATGGGCTCAGAGGGCAAGCCAAGGGCATCTGTCCCTGCCCTCTAGTCCTGGTCTTGTTCCATAAGCCTTCTGGGGCCACAGGCTGAGCAGAGGAAGCTGACAGCCCAGGGTAGGTGTGCAATGCCTCCCTAGCCCCAGGTTGGGGTAGTGAACTCAAAGAACAGTGGACCCTGGGCCACCATGCCCCCTGCAACTTCCCTAGCTCTGCTCTCCCCACCTCCCCAGGGTGGCTGGCTTTGGTTGCATGCTCTAGCCAGGGGCACAAGCCTCAGCATGCTCCACCCCACTGCACTACCTTACAGCGCCGCTCGGCCCCAGGACCAACTTGTAAACTCCAGCACAGGCTTGTGCCAGGCCGGCTCAGCTCTGTACACCGAATGGAAAATGTGAACAGGACGGAGCGGCTGCGGCCTGCCCAGGCTGGGCCTGGCATGCTGGGAGCCAGCTCATCTGCCTGTGAAAGCCCCTTGAGCTGGGATTTGCAGAGCGTGGCTGATGGAGGACATTAGCCATCAAGCTCCGCAAGCACCACACTCTTAACCATTCTGGGCAGATGGCCCTGTTCGTCTCTCTAAGTCGTTAACATTTCCCCATGTCAAGCATGAGCTTTGCTTTAGGCTTGAATCTCTATGAGCAGCTGTTCCCTACTCTACCTGGGCTGCTGCCCCTGGTCCAGACAGCACCTCAGCCTAGCCATGAGGCCTGGAGCAAGGTGTAGGGTGGGCAGGCAGAGCTGCCATGAAATGGAACCAGCCATTGCCCTTTCAGGTCCTTGGTTAGCACCCTGTCCAGTGCTTCCCACACGCCCATGGCTGGCCCTGATTTGCTGAGTGTATGCTGCAGCAGCTAGCCTGCTGCTTTCTCAGCCTGAGTCTAGTGCACACTGCCCTGTATCCAGAGGCTGAGACCAGGGCCCTTCAGCATCCAGGACCTGGTGCTCAGAGACTAGACCCTCCTCTGGAATCAGAGGCTCCTGGGGCTGCCTCCCAACACTTTCCCCCTGGTGGGGCATCCCAGAGAAAGGTAGGACCTGTGCCTGCTGATCAACAACAGACCACTGCAGATGTCCGTGAGCAGGTGCCAGGCAGGCAGGAAGTCCCAGATCTGTCTCTGTACTGCCAGGACCATGGGCCCCTCTACTCCCACAGCCTCTTGTCCAGTCCTCTGGCTCTTGCTCTTGAATTGGCTCTGCTGCCCTGTGTGTCTGTCCCAAAGTTCCATGTGACCTTTCATGAGGCCCCCATCTTGTCATGTATTCCTGTGTCCACCATACCCTCCTCTCTGGATTCCCACATGGTAGGTGGGCCTCACAAGGTATCCTGAGCCTGGGCCCTGCATGAACAGAAACCCTTGTCCACTTGTGTGTGGAGCTCTGGGCCCACCCCTCCCTCACACTGCAGCCACATGGTACAGTTATGGCCTTTCAAACCCAACCTCTGTCAGGAAAACACTTCATTGAGAGGCTATCACCATGGTCATCACAGGTATCACCTCATGACAGGTGCTTACATACTGCCCTGTGGGCCATGGTGGACCCTGTGTGAGTGCCAGTGGGCAGCCTGGTGGGGCTGTGGTACTCTGCAACAGATGGGACCCATCTTGTGAACTGCAGGCCCTGGTGTGAGACTCTCCCCTGGGACTGATGGGGATAGGGTCCGATTCTTCCTGCCTGCTGGTAAGGGCTTATCTTTGCAAGGGGCCAGATGCTAAATTTTAGCTGGGCCCTGCGGAAACTGCAGCTTCAGTTGGGCCTCCTGCAAGAGAAACTAGAGAGCCCATTAAGCTCTGCGGAGCCAGTGAGGTGCACCCCTGACTTCATTAGAACTGGATACTTCCCTGCAATGGCCCCAGTACTTGCAGTGCACCCTCACCTGTGGGCTGGTCTTAACCAACCTTTGAGGGGCAGAGAGACCCAGCTTGCCATCGCTCCTGTAGTGTGCTGGTGTCTTCCAAGGTAGACATTGTTTCCTTTGCCCCAGACATCAGAGGGGCAAAAATGGGCCATGTTTAGGTCCAGGCCCAAGTGTGGGGTCTGTGCTTGTGGCCCTTGGGGCATCCAGCAAAGTAGGTAAGTTGGCTGGGCCTTCCCTATGCATGATGGGGAAAGTGTCTGGGAGGAGAACTTGGAGGCTAGTCTCTGCTAGTCTCCTGGAGGCCCACAAAAGCTGATATAGTCAGTGGCTCTGTCCACAACCACCTCTGAGGCTGGCAGCAGAGAGGTCATGGCTAACCAGGCAAGCCAGTAAATTGGTCTTTGCCTTGGACTCATCTGTCCTGATGGACACCCTCGGGGCTCTCCAAGCCCTCTCTCCATCAGTGGGAAGGACAAGGCTGGGCAATCCTACGAAGTCCTTCCCAAGTATGTGTGTGCAGGTGGGGCACACACCTGAAAGGCTCACCAGTATCTAACAGCTCTGGTGGGAGGTGACATGGCAGAACCCTGTGTCTGGCCCGGCCAGGGGCACCCTTTTGGCAGCTGGGCCTTCACACCCTCACAGCACTGCAGTGGACACCCTGCAGGCCTTGCTGCTCCAAGGTGGCAGTCAGGATGTGGTGCAGCGCGTGGAGCTGGGAGGAGGCTGGGAGTTGCTCAGGACCTCAGCAGGGCATGAAAACGGGGTCACCCAGCTGGCCAGGTAAGCAGTCCAGGTCCTATTCAGTGGATATCTGAAGGCATAGACCCTCCAGAGGTCCCTAGGGAGGGGCATCCTGTATGTAGTGAGAGGCTATCTCTGGAGGGTATGCCTGAGAGGAAGGACTAATAAGGCTTAGGGCTGGAGGGCAGAGCATGGGAGGTCCATATGGGAGTTGGCCTGCCCAGGAACCTGCCAGCACCCTGGCTGGGCATCTCCAGCCCCTACATCCTTGGGACCTCCTTCCCAGTGCCATGGCCAAGTGCGCAGGCCCTCGACTCCCCCTGCTGATGAAGGCGCTCGTGTGCACTCAGGACAGTGTGTATGAGATCCAGAGGGTTACTTCCACAGCCTTCCTGGCCGAGGTAGGACCCTTGTCCCACTCTGGAATGGGCAGAGATGCCTTCGTCCTGTGGCTGACAGAGCCACTGAGATGGCAAACAGGCAGCCTCCCTCGTCCTCACAAGAGCATGCTCAGTCCCACCAGCCAGGGCCGGGCCCCAAGTAGAGGCAGGCCAGCACCCAGGACCTCTGAGGCTCCCTCGATCCTCCCGGCTTTGGAGATTGAAAGTCTACTGAAGGCTGTGACCGTGGCAGGCTAGGGTGGGACTGGGGGCAAGTTGGGAGGTGTGTTAGCTAGGGAAGGGCTCTGGGACTCAGTGGGTGCAGGTAGTCACAGCAGTTCTTCCTCTAGCTGCTCAGCAGCAACGTGGTCAATGACCTGATGCTTCTGGAGTCACTGCTGGACAGTCTGGCTGCCCGGCAAAAGGATTCGAGTGCCAGTGTGCGGCGGCTGGTGCTCCGTGGCCTGGCCAACATTGCTTCAGGCTCCCCGACAAGGTAGGTCCAGTAGCCAACCTTGCCGGCTACCCCCACTACCCAGTGAGGGCAGCTGGGAGAAAGGCAGACATGGAAGTAGAGGGTGGGAGGTACATGGGGCCTTTGCTTCCAGCTGCTACACGAAGAACTGTACCTGCAGGACAGGGCTAGATGAGTGGAACAGTCTGAGCACACTGTTTTCCCAGGTGCGGGCTCACAGCTCCCAGCTCCTGACAGCCATGATCAGTGGGCTGGATGATGGAGACGACCCACACAGCCTTGTAGCCCTGGAAGCCATGGTGGGCCTTGCACGGCTGCTGGACCTGGTGGAGCCCCGGGACCTGCGCTCGGTGCTGCTGCACACAGCCATCCGCATCCGGCCCTTCTTCGACAGTGTAGGCTTTGAGGGTGGGCTGGGGGGTCATCACCTGAAGACCCGACACTCATCCTTGGCCAAGCTCAGGGCTATCCCCAGATCTCATGAGCTGTACTTTTGTCAGATCCTAAGACCTGGGGTCTAGGCCTGGCTTTACCCTTCGCTCCTCATTTGGGTCTTCTGTGCTAGTCCGTCCTGCTCCCAGACTTGTGTCCCTGCCAGCACTTTCCCACCCCATCGCTCTGCAACACTAGGCAGGGGCCCAGGGCTCCCATGTCTGCACCAGGCCTAGGGGAGGGGACCTGTGAGATGACATGGCAACACCCTTGCCAGGAGAAAGTGGAGTTCCGGACAGCATCCATCCGCCTTTTTGGGCACCTCAACAAGGCCTGCCATGGTGACTGTGAAGACATCTTTCTGGAGCAGGTTGTGGGTGGGTTGGTGCCCCTCTTGCTACACCTGCAGGACCCTCAGGCCCCTGTGGCCAGTGTGAGTAGCAGTGGGGTGGCAGGGGCTGGTTGGCCTGGATGTGGCTCAAGCTAAGCATCTAGTCCTGCAGGCCTGCAGGTTTGCACTGTGCACGTGCATCCCCCACCTGGAGCGCGAGGAGCTGGCGGCTGCCTTCCAGAAGCACCTGCAGGAAGGTCGTAGCCTGCACTTTGGGGAGTTCCTCAACTCTACCTGCAAGCACCTGGTGAGGTGGGCATATGGGGGCCGGAGCCCACCCAGGCCAGCTGACAGCCCTGACCCTGACCCTACCTCCGCAGATGCATCACTTCCCTGAGCTGCTGGGCCGTCTACTGAGCACCAACCTTTTCTACTTCAAGAGCAGCTGGGATGATGTCCGGGCCGCAGCCCCCATGTTCACAGGTGAGTATTCCCCGTGTCACCCCCGCTCCCCCCACGTGCAGCACACACCTGACCCCCACCCACCCCCACAGGGTTCTTGGTGCTGCACACAGAGCCAGAGCACAGGCTGCAGGTAGACTTGGAGCAGCTCATTGCCGGTGAGCCCCGAACCCCCCCCCACAAACGCCACATACTCCCCCATGCTGCCCCAACCTGTCCAGGCCTGCTGAGGCCCTGCTGACCCTGTGGGCACCCACAGGGACTAAGTGATTTTCCTGGATTTCAAGATTTTTTTCCCTGTCATTGGTGACCTCATCGTCTCTAGTAATTCACGGAAACTTCTTAACTGTTCCAAAAGAGCTTAAAAAACACTAAAAAAGGAAAAACTATCTTTCCGTTGGCTCCTGAGCCCTCCCAGCAGAGGCCTGTCTGTTAAGAAAGGCAGTGGGCGGCCCCACGCACAGGCATAGGCCAATGTACTACTGGCCTCTTCCTCTGCCCCAGCTCTTCAGCTCCTGCTGCGAGACCCAGTGCCAGGGGTGCGGGAGAAGGCTGCTGAGACACTGGGCCGACTGGTGAAGTTTGCCTGAGTCTGGCTGTACCCCACATGCAGTACAGCGGCCTGTGCCTGCCCAGAGGACCCGTGTTGGTGAACAGGGCCAAGACTGCACTCCCCGACCTGTTTTTCAATAAAGCCATTTGCTCCTCAGTGGACACAGGGTACAAAGATAAAGCCTTTGTTTTTGGCTTACACCAGGAGGGTGCCTGGCCTCGGGTGTCAAATCACCCCCACCCCCATCTTGGAAAACTCAATGAGACAAAGGCCTGGCACTATGGCAGGGCAGCTGTCAGGAGCCCCATTCAAGTGGGAGCAGCAGGGAGGAACGTCTTTACTGAAGACGGGGCAGCAGACTAGGTGAAGAGGCGGATGGTGCCATCTGCTCCAGAGGAGAAGAGCCAAGGCTGTGTGGGGTGGAAGGCCACGTCCAGGACGCCCAGGTCTCGGGTCAACACGTGCCCTTTGAGCACCTTGACTGGCACCAGCAGTGGATTCTGCAGCAGGTCACTGTGGAGGAGAGGGGCTCAGCATACAGCAGGGCACTGACCCCGTGGGGAGAGCAGGCAGGGGTTGGCACTCACTTGTACACCATGCCATGGCAGACAATGACACTGCCGTCATCAGAGCCGGATGCAAACAGTGGGTATCGGGGGTGGAAGGCCACAGCCCGCAGGGCCTTCTTGTGGTGCCTAGGGGAGGGCTGCATTTACTGTGGGCTCAGGGCTGGAGGGAGGAGCCCTGCTAGCCACCCCCTCCACCACTTACCTCAGCACTTTGTATGGCTTAGTGGAAAGATCCAGATCAAACCATACCAGTTTGCTGTCATAGCTGCCACAGATGACATTGTCGCCTACGGCCAGAGGAAGACAGGAGCCCTTACCATACCTGTGGTGTACACTTCCCCTGCCACCTGTGGGGTGCACACTCCCACCCTCACCTGCAGGATGCACAGCCAGGCTGGACACCCACTTGCAGTTGGGCATTAGCTTCTTGGTGAGCTCCTGGCGCAGCAGGTGGTAAATGCGGACACTGCGCTGAGAGGCCACCAGCAGGAAGGGCCGGGTGGGATGGAAAGCCACGCACTGTACCAGTCCATGGCTGCGACGGAATGGGCTCTGGCTGCGACGCCGGCTCAGCTGGTGGATCAGCACCTGAGTGTGGCCTGGGCTGGCCAGCACCACAGCCAAGTAGTCCCCTCGTCCGTGCCAAGTTACCTGTGTCACAGGCTGCAGGAGAGCAATGCTGGCTGATTGGCTGAGCAAAGTCACACTCTCTGCCTCCATGGTCCTCTGCCCCTCTACACACCTTGCTATGGCAGATACGCAGTCGCAGACCCCACTGGCGCTCTTCCTCCAAGGCCTCCAGCCAGCGGGCTGGCAGTAGGGCTGGCTCTTCAGGCGGGGTGAAGGCATCCAGCAGCTGGTCTGTGCTGCCCAGCAACAGCCGATCACCCAGACCTGGGTTCAGCAATAGCACTGAGTCCTCCCTACGAGCCAGAGTCAGACATAACCCTGAGCAGTGTCCCGGCCCCACTGGCCACTCTTACCTCAGGCCACACACTTACATGGCTACAGCCACCAAGCAGATGGTAGGGTTGGGGTTCCAGGCAACACTTCTCACCACGCCCCCCACAGGCACAGTCCTCATACAGCGGGCAGTGGGCACCTCCCAGAGCCGCAACGAGCCGTCATCTGAGCCTGGATGCAGCAGAGAAGGCCCTCAGCACCTGGTCCTCCCACCTGGCCCCAGCTCAGGGCTGCCCCCCAGCCTTGGGCCCACCTGAAGCGAGCCACTGGCCACCTGGGGAGACACTGAGGCAGCGGACAAGATCGCTGTGGCCCTTGTAGACCTGTAGAGGAGAAGCAGTGAGGAGACGGACCCAAAGGTGCTTGTCCCCCCCCAAGTGGCTCCCCACTCACCAGAGCCTGGCACACAGGGAAAGGCTGTAGGTCCCGTGGCCGAGGCAGTGTAGGGATGAGGTCTTCAGGGTCCACATTTACCTGGGGCAGGAGAGCACGTGCTTACTCTTAACCCCTTCCCCATTGTCCCCAGGCGTGCCGCCCCACATACCCTCATCTTGCGCTGCCGCGGGCACAGGTATAAATCGAGGCAGCGCTCAAAGCGCTCTTGGATGAAGCGGCTGTATGCAGGCACAGCCCGTAGGCTTGGGTACTTCCGCGGCAGGAAACTGAGCTTCCTCTCGCCCGGCTCCTGCTGCGCCCATGCCAAGCGCTGGGGAGATGGGGAGACAGGTGAGCAGGGGAACAGGAAACACAGCTGGGACCCAGACCTGCCCAGGTACAGGGCCCACCTCCTCCTCGCTAGGCAGGTACTCAGGAGGCGGGTTGTAGGACTCCTCGTGGCCAGGCAGAGCCAGCTTGGGTGCAGGCACGTGCATCTTGTGACGCCCCAGCACGGCGTTGGGGTCCTCCTGGGCCCACAGGTCATAGAAGTTGGGGGTGGGATCTTGGGGCCGACGAGGTTGGATCCAGCCCATCTTGATGGCGTGCACCATGCGAGACACCTGCACACACAACCCAGGTCAGGGAGTAGCACGGGGCATTGCCCTGGGGGACAAGGGTCAGTTCCCACCTTCTCCTTTTCCACGAGGGACGGGATGAAGCTGCGCTTGTCAGCTGGGCGACTGGTCACTGGGTGGATCATGAGGTCCCCACTGAAGAAGTCCACGGCTGGCTGGGGAGACAGGCACTACGCTGAGGCCCTGCCCAGACCTCTTATCCCCAGGGCCAACTAGTGCTATCTACTGCTACCTACCTCATATGGGTCGAAGTTCCCGTCCCCAAACTGGCCGCTCTGCAGCCGCCGCACAAGGGCTACCTGCTCATCAGTTAGCCGCAGGTCACGCCCTGTCATCCGGTCCTGCACAGTGCGCCTGGGAGACAGCCAGTCAAAGCCACACTCCCAATCTTTTGACCCCTAGGCCTCACCCTGAGGGTAAACTCACCAGAAGTCTGGGTCATCCATCTTGTCCAGAAACTGGTCCAGCTCATCCCGGGTCCGCAGGGGCTTGTAGATGCGCTTACCGTCCAGGTCGTAGCCCACGTGCGGGAAGTCATCGTACCATGCCAGGGGCACATTGCCCACAGTATTCCGGATGTCCTACAGCATGACCACCACATCAGCACCTGTCCCCTCAGTGCCCCGTCCCCTCAAGCCATCCAGTAGGCACAGAGGAGAGGAAGGACAAGGATGGAGTACCAGGGGTCAGCTGACCTAACATGTGCCCTTGCTCTGGTCCTGGGGTCTGACGTGGCAGTCCGGCCGGTACTGCCCCCCACCCCCACCCTGGGCCCCGAGGCGCCTGAGCTTTACCTTCACATTTTCCACTGAAGTGATGCCAACCCTGGCCTCCCCCCTCATCGGATTCCTTGGCCAGGGCTCTGGGCAGCCACAGACAGGGATGACCTCATCGCCCATGGGCTCCCTCCCCTGGCAGGGGCCTTGGACAGAAGTGGGTAACTTCAAGGCAGGGCCTAGGGGAAGACCCCCATCCCACCCATTCCAGAGAGAAGCTGCTGCATTCTGCCCCTCAGGTGGCCAAGAGCCTTCCCTCCCAGGCTCCACTGATCCTCCCCCTCCCCCTCAGTGGGCAGAGCAGACATTCCTGGACACACATTCCTGGTTTCGGCCCCTGCCAGCCACCACCCTCACTCCTCCCAGCCTGGGGACTGCTGCCCAGGCGGCTGCTTCCTGCAACAGTAGCCACAGGGGAGGAGGGGTTGGGCAGCACCAGCACAGCTTGAATCCCTCTGCAGCAGGCCAGGACCCCTTGTTCCCAATCCCAGGTGCCCCTAGTGGAGCATGATCTTCCTTCTCTCCCTGGAGGGGCTGTCCAGCATCCTCCGTGTCTATGCAGTCACCCCAAATTTCAGCCACCCTGCTGAGGGACTGGTCTTACCCAAGTATTGTGCCCTAGCCTTAATGAAGAGGCCCATGGAGCGCACGGCATAGGGACAGGAGCAGTTTCCTTAAGCCAGGAAGAAGGAAGGAGGTGGAACCGGAGAGAAAGCTCTGGCAGAAGGCACAGCTGGTGCCTGACCTGGAGAGGCAGGTGCAGGGCAGACAAGCTATCCAGCCCCACAAACCTTTGGGTTGCAGCTGGGGCTGACTTCCAGCCCCTCCACACTCCCCTTGGGTGCGCCGTGCACACAGCCTGGCACAGGAAGGCCCAAGTGCACATGGGAGGGAGACAGACAGGGCGCGGCCGGGCAGCTGGGCGAACTTCAGCAAGCCAAGGGGGAGAAGGCCTGCGCTCCGTCCCGGTGAGGGGGAGGGGCAGGCGCTACGGTCCCGGAGCTCCAGTACCACCGGGGGCTCCTACTCGCCCTGCATCCCCGAGCCACAAAGATGCTCCGGGACTCCCTACGCGCGGCCACGAGAAGGCAGAGGCGCGCCGGCCCAGCTCCAGCTCCTCGGGGGCCGGGCTGGGAGGCGGCGGCGGCGGCGGCGGCGCGGGGGAGGGGCCGGCCGCTATAAAGGCGCAGCTCGTGGTCCCGCTCCAGCCCGGACGCACGTGTGCGCGCGGCGCCCGGCAGCCGCCACCGCGGGGCGCAGCCGAGACTCGCGCCTGTCCCGGCCCGGCGGCCCGCGAGGCTCGCGGCGGCCGCAGGAGGCGGCATGAGCGGCGCGCGGCGGAGCTGACGCCGCGCCCCCTGCCCCGGTCCATGTCCTTCGCCATGCTGCGCTCGGCGCCGCCGGGCCGCTACCTGTACCCCGAGGTGAGCCCGCTGTCGGAAGACGAGGACCGCGGCAGCGAGAGCTCGGGCTCGGACGAGAAACCCTGCCGCGTGCACTCGGCGCGCTGCGGCCTCCAGGGCGCCCGGCGACGGGCGGGAGGCCGGCGGGCCGGGGGCGGCGGGCAGGGGCCCGGGGGACGGCCGGGCCGCGAGCCCCGGCAGCGGCACACAGCGAACGCGCGCGAGCGGGACCGCACCAACAGCGTGAACACGGCCTTTACGGCGCTGCGCACGCTCATCCCCACCGAGCCGGCCGACCGCAAGCTCTCCAAGATCGAGACGCTGCGCCTGGCCTCCAGCTACATCTCGCACCTGGGCAACGTGCTGCTGGTGGGCGAGGCCTGCGGGGACGGGCAGCCGTGCCACTCGGGGCCCGCCTTCTTCCACGCCACGCGCACGGGTAGTCCCCCGCCGCCGCCGCCGCCGCCGCCGCCGCCTGCCCGAGACGGCGAGAACGCCCAACCCAAACAGATCTGCACCTTCTGCCTCAGCAACCAGAGAAAGTTGGTGAGCGGGGCCGGGGCGCCAAAGGGGCCCCCAAACTCACCCTTCAACCCGCACCTGCCCGGCAGAGGGCCAGGAGCGGGGCAGTACTCCCTAGCAGGGCACAGACAGGGACACCTGCCACCCAAGCTGGGCCCTAGGGAGGGGGGGACAGAAGGATGCCGCCCCGTGGGAGGGCAAGGTGGGCCTTCTCTTTGGGCCTTTTCCACGACCCCATAGGACACTGCCTCCTACTAGATTGGGCCACTGAGACCTGCCAACGTGGGGACAAGAAGTAAGGATGGCTAGAAGGGGCCACCCAGGAGCAGGGGCCTGGGGAAAGGCAGGGCAGCACCAAAGCTACAGGAGGGCCGCTCCAACCCTGGCAAGTTGAAAAATGAAAGAGGTTGAGTTTAGAAAGCAAGAGGCTGGTTCAAGCCACCCACCTACCCCTGTGCCACTGGGGGTGGCGGTGAAGCAAAGAGGAAACCCCTGGAGTCCATGTGCCACCTCACCTCAGCTCTTGCAGTCCACCTTCACTCCAAGACTTATGGGGCACCTGCTGTCCCTCTCCTGGCCTGCCGGGAGATGTGCTGGGAGAGGGTTAGGCTGTGGGAGACGCAGGCCAGCCATGATTTACAGCTCGGGCCGTGTTTGGTGGCACCGGAAAAGCAGGGTGAGCAGGGAGAAAATACAACGGCTTTTCCCAATCCCCATTTCCTCTCCAGACAGCACGCGCGAGCTCCTGGGGCCTGAACATCTGGGAAATTTAATTTTACAGTTTCGACTGCACAACAGTGTACTCCCCTCCCCAAAATGCACAGGGGGAGCCAGGAGCCTGGAAGGGGAATGCCCCAGCACCGGCCACCTGAGATAGCACCCAGCAGGAAGCCAGGGAGGCTGGGCCAGCTCTGGGTGACGCTGGGTCTCTGCCTAGGCCCTGACACCACCCCCCTTCCCCTCTGCAGAGCAAAGACCGAGACAGAAAGACAGCAATTCGAAATTAGGAGGCTGGTCCACAGCAGTGGGAGGTGGATGCCGCTGGGGACCCACGGAGAGCCTCACCTTGGACCTAATCTGGGCACAGGTCCCTCAAGAGCAAGCTCACCAGGCCAGAACTGCCCAGGCTATGAGCAGAGCCAATGGACAGACAGATGGACGGTGATTTGACTGAGTAACCCAGCACTTACCCAGGCCCACTGGAACTTTCCATGCTGGCTCCCTACCTGGGCCAAGTGTTGGCGTCTTGCATCTCTGATATAATATAAAGTCTGGAAGTTTTGTATAATTAAAAATGAAACAGTATCTCCCAAATACAGAGGCAGACTGTCCTCTGGAAGGATCCAAACTCACCATGCCCGCCCTCATCTGAGCCTGTACTTCCATCCTTGGAGCCCCATCTGCCCTGGGCTAGGACGCCTAATTCTGAGAAGGCACCTCCTTTTCAGAGCTAGAGGGAGGCAGATCCAGGAGAGGGAGGCCTAGATCACCCAACAGCCTCTTTCTGGGGACCTGTGGGGTGGGGACTGAAGGGACAAGAGAGGGGAGAGGGTGAGAGGTGCTGTGTGGTGAGAAAGTGGGAAAGTAAGGAGGGAGCAGGAGGCAACCAAACAGTCTCATTCCCCCTGAGGCCACTGCACAGTGAGGAAGGCACAGGTGGGGCCTTGCACTGTGCTCAGCCTTAAGCCCCAGTTGTAGACAGGCAGCCCCCAGCAGCAGAGCTCCAGTAAGCAGATACAAGACTGGGCAAGGGTGCTGCCCAGCAATGTAGGACCCCAGGACTGGACGGGCCTGAGGACAGTACCTGGGTGGTAGCCACGTGAGTACCCCTATCAGTGCCCACCTGGGCCCCAGAGAGCTGTGGGGCCCATTGCCTGCCAGGGCCACCCCATTGCCCCGCCTCTATGAACTGTAACAAGAGGCCACATCTCACCCTGCCCCCAGCTGCACAATGGAAGGAGTCCTGGCTGTCTACCACTCATCCCACTCAATTCCCTCAAACATCCCACCAGACCCTGAGATCGATTAGGACCCCATCAGGCACATGCACATCTGGCTGACCATTAAAATCCTGTAGGTGACAATTAGTTCAGTGGCACAGAGCTCTGTGGGCACAGTAGAGAAAAAAGGCCAAATGGCTGTGTGGACCACCTCCCCCACTGACCCAGGAGGCTAGCAGCCTGACTTCTAGCAAGGAGGTGGGTAGGGAATGGCTGAGGGCACCAGGTGGCAGGCGGCTGGCAGGCCCTAGGCCCCTCCTTGAACACCCAGCCCTCATATTCCTCAGTACAGGAACTGATGTCCCCCCAGGCCGGAGCAGGGGACAGACCAGGTGCTGAGAACTATGTGGGCATCCTCACAGGGCAGGGACAGAGTTGCCCCTCCTCTGCAAGGATGGGCTCCAGGGAACCAAAGCACAGGAAGCAGTGGTGTAATTTTGGAGGAAATTCTCAAAGCCAGAGCCATTAAGGGGGGGGGTGTGTGTGTGTGCTGTGTCCAATCTGATAGAAATATAACAGGATAGAAAGTCGCAGCGGCAGGTTTCGTTCAGAGAGAAACCCAACCCCAAATTTCCTCCCCTTAATCCTGCAAGAGACCACAGCTGGCCAGAGGGAGGGGGAGAGGGCACACGCACTCACTGCAGAGGCACTCACTGCAGAGGACCTGGGGGTGTGGCTTGGGCTGAGGAGGCCCCCTTACCCCCTCCAGTGTGTTCTCCACAGCACCCTTCCCGGCACCTCCCAGGCAGCAAAGTCACTGTGACAGATGCTAGGCAGGGCCCAGGGGTGCGACCTGGCAGGGAGGGGTCTGCCCTGGGCATGAAGGCAGCAGCCTCCATCCTAGGTCCCTGAGCTGGGCTCTCTCCACTGGACAGAAGGTGTCCTTCCTTGAGAAGCATCATTGAGTCTCCTGCCCCTCACCCACAGGCCTCATATTTCCAGATCTGTGTCCAGATAGGGATGCAAATCTTCCACACAAAACCCAGGACAGGTAACTTGTGGACACCCACCCCAGTGGTCAGAATGGCCTGGCCAGTGTCAGGAATAAACCAGAGGAACTTGAACTGCAGAGGACATTAAAAGCAAACCAAAGAATGCAGGGAGGGACCCCCTCAGTGTGCAGAGGCTGAAAACTTTAGCAGGGGCCACAGGTGGGGACTATGGGGCTGGATAGGTACTAGAATGATGGGGTTTGGTGGCCAGCAGCACTGGATGCCACATGGCCTGGAGCCCAGTGCAGAAGGAGAGGGAACGCTGGGAGGACGGGGCAGAGTATGAAGAGGTCAGGGATGCCCAGAAGCAGGCACTGGGGCCTGAGCAAGACTGAGCAGGCCAGCGACCACCAGAGTTGGGCTTTGGGGTGTCAAATGGGGCCACATGAAAGGGGACAGACAGGGACAGAAACAGAGGTTGCAGGGCTAGAAGGCTCCCCAGGGACCCAGATGATCAGGGTGCGGCACGCGCCCAGCCAAGGCCTCTACTGCAGGGCCTGACTCTGACGCGGCTGCAGCTTGGCCAGCCTCAGGCCTGGGCAGCCAGCCCAGCCGCTCCCCAAGCTGCACCGGTAGCAGCGGCCGAGAGCCTGGCCCGACAGCCAGCAGGAGGAGGGGAGGGGCAGGAGGAACACTCCGTCACCCTCCACTGCTCCAGATTCAAACCAGACTGGGGGTGGTGTGGGCCGCCCCAGCCCGTGGCCCCACGTGAGTCTACATGGCTAGCCAACAGCCAAGGGGTGGCAGGTGCTCCTAGCCCACCTCAGCCCTTGGCTTCCTTCCCAGTGCCCGGCCTCACCCTCCACCAAGCTGAGGAGTTGTGGGACAAAGACCCAGGGCTCCCTCTGCATGTGCCCCACAGAGGCAGCTGGGAAGGAAGGGGGGCCCCTGGCCCACACCCTGGGCCAGCAGCTGCCCCTGCGAGCTACGTTGGGCTGGAAACACTCGGCTCAGCCTCAGCTGTCAGCTCCCTGTCCCCTGCCTGGGGAACAAGCGGCTGGCGGCTCCATGATTCATCACCAGGCCGCCTGCGCCCCAGGCCAGCCGCCCCCGCCCTGCTCAGCACCTGCAGGCTGCCAGGAAACACATGTGACCCCTCCAGGTCAGGCCCCGCACTGAGACCCCAGGCCAGGCTGGCTGAGCAAGGGCAGGCTGACCCAAGACCCATACTCTCCTGGGGGGCCACCCAGCCCAAAAGGCAAGGCTGTGGGATCAGGCTGGGCAGGGGATCCCCCCCGCCCAAACTGCACCGGACACAGCAGCAGTGAGCTGATGTGTCGGCTGGGACTTTTCCGCTTTCGATGAGTCCCCTCCCCTCCCCTCCCCTCCCCAAAGTGGCTGCAGCTGTCAGGACCACAGATTGGAACTGCAGGTACAGGGCTGGCCCGCTGCCCACCTCCCTCCCGTGTCTGTCTGCAAGAGAGGAAGCCGGCCCACCTCTGGAATCCTTCACTCTCTCCTCGTTCCGCCTCTCCCACCTGTCCCCCGGGAGCGTGGGGTCAGCCGCCTTGCTCAGTCTCTCTCTTCCCCGGCCCCTCTCCGATTACAATGCGGGCAGTGTTCAGTGTTGCTCAGCTCCCCCGACACCAAACGCCCTCCTGTCTCAGAACTCATGGCCTTCCTGTGCCGCCGCCTCCCCTCCTGGGGTGTCTTATCTCTGTCAAAGTGCTCATGGCCCACTGCTGCCCTGGGTTCACCTGTCGAACTGACCCCACTGAAGTTTCCAGAAAGGATGCTAACCCTTGGAGTCCATGCCAGAGGGAGGCTGCCTCTTCATTTGGTTGCCCCAAGTCCCAACCAGCCAAGGGACCCAGCAAGGGTTGGGGGCCAGGAAGCAGCCACCTCCCATCTCTTCGTCAGACTGCCCCTAGTCTTCACCAAGACTTCACTTTCCTCCCATCACCTGCTGGTTTGTCCTGGAGGGGCTGGGCCCACTGTGTGGTCTGCTGCCAGCACCTCCACATCTAGGGGGTAGGGGGGTCAGTCACTCCACATGGGGTCTCCAGGGTAGAGAAAGGACACCCCTTGCCTGGAGGCTGCCCAGCCTGGCATGCCTGGCTCTCTCTTGGGGTTAGCCAGGGTCTAATGGATGTTTCTGTGCAGGGTACCCAGCTGCTTCTGCAGCAGTGCTGGGATGGGGACATGGGCTCAGGCTGCCCTACATCTCCATGAGTTGAAGTCAAAAGGCCTGTTTTGACCCCTACTATTCAGACACAGCTGCCACTTCAGTTGGGAGGGGGGTCCAGAGCTTCATACATGCTAAGCCCCCTTGCCAGCCCCCAACTCCAGGCACCTCCAAAATCCCATTCTGGAGAATTTTCCTCACCCCCGAGCACCGCCCATATACATGGAGCTCCCATCTGTGGCAGCCCTGGCCCTCTGTGGCCAACCTCATCAAACGGCCATCCTGTGCTCCCAGCACTTCACTATAGCCAGCATCTCTCACCCTCTCAATGCTGCCCTGCTCCACCCCACAGGCCTCTCTTCTCCCCAGCCCCAGGGTAAACCCCTCCTCTGGCCCCCTCCTATACCTGCCACCAAGGAAATTGGCCCAAGTGGGCACAGCAGCAGGCAGGACCTCTACCACCCACATGTCCCAGCAAGAGGGAGGACATGGCTCTGAAGAAACCCATCTTTGCCTGCTAGTCACTGCTGGTAGGCTGCTGAGAACTCAGTGCCCCTATGAAGGGCAGCTGGTTTCCTGCATGCCCCTCATCACTGACCCCAATCCAACCCTCCTAGGGTGATCCTCTCTGCCAGCTAAAGTGCTCAGGTGCAAAGTGGCTCCGAGGTACCACGAGGCAAGGGTGAAGGATGGTGCTGGGGGTCTCCCTAGTCAAGGAGTACACAGTGGCCACAGCCACACAAGACCACTGTGCCCTGTAGCCCCTGGTGAGGTCAGCAGTGTGAGTTGGTGCCCCTGCCTGGCAAGCTTAGTCTGGGCACACCAGCAGAATGGGGCCAGAGCCAAAGGGTTGACCTGAGTCTTGCCAGTGGCCCCATTTGGAGGCAGGCATAGAGGCTGGCCTGGGGTGGATAGTCGCCAGGGTAGCCTGCAGGCCCGGGTGCCTTCCACAAACAGAGCAGGAGGGCCTCTCCGCATACTCGCTGGAAACCTGAGCCCACAGGCTCCCCTGCCAGCAGCAACGCAAGCAAGCAAGCACGGAGTGAGAGTGAGTGCATGGGGCGGGTGGGGGCGGTGGCCCTGGAGGAGCAGGAGGCCGCCAGCACTGGAGGCAGCTGCTGGTTCAGTAGCTAGGAGAAGCCATTAACGGTGTTTGGCGAGAGAGCAGAGGGGATCACAGGTTCTGGATGCAGACATGCGGGGCTGCATCCCTGAGTGGTCCGAGTTACAGCCCAGGCAGGGCAGGGGGTGCCATGAAACTGGACCCCCGCTCCAGACCTAGCCCTGCCAGGTCTTGTGGGGGACAGTCCCAGGCCCAGTGCCCACAGGGGCTGGAAGGGGACTAACAAGGAGGGCAGGTCCTCCCAACCTCTCCAGACCAGAGTTCAAGGCTGCTCTGAACTACTCACTCTGACCATGCTCCCTAGACAAACAGGGCTGCAGTCTTGCTAGGAAGGCACGGGGCATGGCAGGTAGGTTGCTCCTCTGCCTCACCAAGCCTAGCCTGGCCTCAGTTTCTCCCTGTTGCTTGACGGAGAAGAGGAGCAGCATCAGCCATTCACCCGCCCCTCTACCCCAGCCCACCTCCCGGGGGTCTCAGCGGCTGGATGAGATCACGTCTATGAAGCCCGGGTGCAGTGGGGAGGGGGTGAGGTGGCCATGTGGGGGTGGGGCAGCCGCAGCACTGCGGCTCCTCAGGGGCTCCCTCTACTCCACGGCAGCCAGGACCCCCGCCAGGTCCAACAACTCATCCAGGGGGCTCCACCCCCACCACACTCAGCCCACGCGGGGCTGCCTGACTCTGATCTGGAGAAAGGGAATGAAGAGGCCGGCCAAGTGAACACAATCAGAAACCAGCGCTCCAGTAAAGAGCTGCTTGATTTAAGAAAGTCAGTGTCCCCAGGGGTGTGGGTGTCCCCAAAGCATAGCCCTGGCAGATGTCAGCAGAAAGCCCTGAAACCCCTGTGTTCCCAGCCTAGGCCCTGGATGCAGACCCAGGGACAGGGCAGGGAAGAGGTGGAGAGGTGTAAAAAGTGACACTTCCGCCCCCCAGCAGCAGATGGCCAGGCAGGCCTCCCCACACTGCATGGTTGTCATCCCTCTCAGCTGCCACTGTGGTCTTTCTGCTAGGAGGGCGGGGGGGGGGGCAGACCCATAAAGACCCTCCCAGAGCCCTCTAGGGCCTCGTGATATGGCATGGCCCACCCAGCCAGTTCTGCCGGGTACTTCTGGCCAGCCAAGGAGAATTCTGGGTCCTGCCATCACTGGACCCCACCAAGGACACTGCCAGAAAGGACCATCCACAGGAGGTCTTGGCAGAGGCTGTCCCCAACAGAAGCTTGCGGTCCTCATAGGTGCCAACCAATTAGGGCACAGTCATGGAAAGGTAATGCCTGGGCTTGGGAGGGACCCCACACATGTACCCCCAGGCCTCTTAGGTAGAAGTGCAGCAGGCAGCTTGAAGTGGGCTAGGCTCTCCTCCCACTGGCCTGGTCCTCAGCCAGGTACTGAAGGCCATGCCCCACTCCCTCCCTGGATTGTCACCTCCTCTGTAGCCACTTTGCTCTGGGGACAGGAGCCAGATGCAGCCTCAGGCCCCACGCATAGACTCTTCAAGAAGGGATGCATCCGTCCAAGCCTGGCCTGGCTCCTGAAAGCTGAGCTCTGCCGCCCCCTCCAGCCACTGGCCGGTTGTGCTGGCAGAAGCTCTGGCAGGCGGGCATCTCTGCTCTGGGGCTGTCACTCAGCCTGACACATGGGACAGTCATCACAGGAGGAAGGAAGCAGCCCCCACGCCAGTGCTTCCTTACAGTGCAGCGGGGCCGTCCGACCCTCCCTCTCATGGGGACCTAGACAGGAGGGTTGAGGCACACTTCCCTGTGGGCAGGCAGGGTCTGGCAGGGCTGATCTAAGGCCCTGACCAACTCTGAAAGGCCCTTCCCCCAACCCCTGCACTCCATTTACAATCATCACCGATTTCCCAAAATACCAGATATAAAAAAGTAGCCGACAGGATGTGACTGCCGACAGCCAGAGCCCCTAGGGGGAGGGGAGACAGGCAGGGAGCCGCGCTGTGCGGCCCCCCTCGCCAGTGCGCCCGCTGCTCCGGCCAGGAAACCAATTTATTTTGTTTTGTCTCTGTTCTCTGAACGCGCAGCAGAGACTGGATCGGGCTGGCGGCCAAGCCTCCTGCAGACACTGCCAAGAGAGCTTGAAGGTGGGGAGGAAGCCCAGCAGGGGAGGGGGGGCGCGTGTCTCCCCCAGGCTCTCGGGACAGCCCCTGATAGGCAGGCAAAAAGGGCTCTTGAGGGGAGGAGGACTGACCCTGTAGGCCCCACACCAAAGCCCCCTGGGTCTGAAGAGGCTCACAACAGCCCCTGCCTTGCCCTGGGACCAGCCCTCACCCAGGAGGATGAGGGGATGGCTGCCAGCTGCCAGCTCCACTGCCCCTGTGTTCAGAGTTCCTCAGAGCCTGCAGCCACTCCCGGCCTTGGCCTCCTGGACACAGACCACCATGGCCTCTAGATGCCTCACTCCCAGGAGGATCCATCTGGCCCTAGTCCAGCATGACACTTTCCTCTCCACACTGTAAATCCCTGAAACAACCCTAGTTGCCTGTCCCTCCCAAGTGCTCGGGAACTGAATCAGAAGCCAGCCCAGCCACATCAGTCCCTCTGGGGACATCAGAGAAGGGAAGGAGCAGAGCAATCAGGATGACAGGGGATGCCCAAGTCCCACCTGAGGCAAATGAGACGCTGCTACCCAACAGCTGCTCCTATGGCAGCCCCACAGATAGGGAGCCTGGGTCTGCTCACACCACATCTGGGCCTGCCATCCCACCCGAGTCCCAACAGACTGCTGGTGTGAAGGAAGACACTCTAACCCCTTGTGCCCACGGAGACAGGAACACAGTCCCCAAGGAGTACAGGACCACGGATGCCGGTCCACAGGAGCCACATCTAGCCTCCCTTTCTACTGGGTGTCAACAGACATGTGTTCCTGCGGTCATGTGGCTCAGACCCCAAAAATCATTCTTCCAGATGGGGGCGGAGCCTGAGCCAGCATGCTCACGAGGCCCTGGCTCCCTCTGCCCAGGGCAGCACAGCCCACCTGCAGGGAGCCCCACACTTCCCAGGGCAGCCCTGACCCCAGGGCCAGCCCCTACTCTAGGCAGCTTAAGGCACCACTAGACCAGACCTCCCACCCAGCACAGTGGGAAAACAAGCCCCACCTCCTCATCAGAGCTGTCTTCTGCATACTCATCCCCACTCAGTGCACTGGCCACCTCCGTCCTCTGGCAAGGGATGTCAGCCTGCAGAGAGAGGGGGAGAGTTAGTTCAGTAACCCAGGATTCCCTTTAACGTTGTGCAGATCCAGTACACAGCCCAACCCTTACCCTGGTGGAGGGCTTGGGAAGACTGGCTTCTCTAACACTGAAGCCTAGATCCGCAGCCCACACAGGACACCCGCCACCCCGAGCTCTGAGCAGCTCCACTCTGCCCAGGCTTCAGCATAGGACAGAGGTCGCCCCAGCAGCCTGAGCCTCTGGAGGCTCATCTGCAATACCAAGCACCACAGGCCCTGCCCTGGGCTTCTCACTCCAGGACTGGACCAGCCTCTGCCCTGTGACAGACCAAAGATGGGCTGACACCTGATGCCAGGCTGGAAAGGAGAAGGCCACCCAAAGAAGTTGGCAGCCAAGTCCAGCTGAGAGCGCAGGCCTCTACTCCCACTGCCCCCACACCATTAACGGCAAAACCAGCTGGCGGGGTCTCTGGTCCAGTGGCTCTAGAACCGGCTCCGCTGGGCCCAGATCCAGCAGAGGACATGGATCTGGGGTTAAGGACAAGGGAGGGGACAGTGAGGGGTGGTACCGCCACTGGGGAATGCGCAGGGTAGATGCAGGTGGTACATGCTGTGGGCCTCTGTCACGGGCCACAGCCAGCCACGCCCGGGGAGCCTGGCCAGTGCCTAGCACCCCAGTCAGCCATGCTAGACAAGGGCCTAGAGATGCTCTGAACCTACAGGATGCCTAGAGCCCTGGCATGGCTGTCACCGGAAACTAGGCACACTCCCCACCACCACAGCAATGACCCCAGGCTGACCCTGTCCACTGGGTCAGAGTGGGCGCCACTGAGGACTCACACCCCAGCCTGGAAAACAGATTCTCCCTGCCGGGGGAGGCGGATGCTCTGACCGGATCGGGTTTACTGGCGGAACCAGGACTGATGGGGAAAACAGGCCTACCTCTCACCCCAGGGGGCAGTAAAGTGCTTGAAGCAGGAACCCCAGTGCGCGGGCGCCTCCGCCCGGAGCCTTACTCCCTCCTGCCCGGGCAGGAGCCAAAGGCCCACTCTTCCTCTCGCCTGTTTTTTCCCTCAATATGAAGAGGAATGAGAAACTAAGTTTTTCTCCAGGCAAGAAATAAGGCAGTATTTAGTTTCCACATCTCCCCTGCCTCCAGCTCCCCTACTACCCATTGAAATTGGGTCAGCCCAGCTCGGTGGGGGAGGGCAGGTGCACAGGGTGGTGAGCTACAGGGTGGTGAGCTACAGGCTCCTTCCTCAGCCAGGACCCTCTCCCCAGCCCCACCTGCAGACAGGCTCAAAGCAGGGCTCAGTTGCTCAGGGCAGCCCCCACACCAGCAGCAGCAACTGGCAAGCACACCTGCCCTGCCCAGGCCTGACAGACCCCTCCAGTAAGCCAGTGCTTCCAAGACATGTGACCACAGCTGTGGCCTCAGACTGAACCTCTAACTTCTCACCACCCCCCACCGGGTGGCCCAGGGGGCTAATGTCCCATCAGGCTCTTGACAAGGTTCCTCAGTGGCGGCTTTTACATTTCCCTACCCATGTATCCTTCCCAGCATTCAGGGTTCCAAGGAGTAACATCCTCACCAAGAACAGATGGCTGCAGCGCAGGGGATACCCACCAGAGGGCAGCACTGATGATAAACGCAGACCCTGGGCCCAGCTCCCCAAACTGGGAGGGGTCCTGACTCTGGATAGGAGTGGCTCTGGGAATTAGCAGACCTAAAAAAACCTCAGCCCTTAAAATGTTTTGTTTTGTTTTTTTTTTGAGACAGGGTCTCACTCTGTAGCCCACACTAGCCTTAAACTCACAATATTCTAGTCTCTGACTCCTAAGTATTGAGACTGCAGGCCTGTGCCACTGTACCCAGCTTACTCACTCAGATTCTAGAGACAAAACACCATTTTTTTAAATTATTATTTAAAAATGAAGGAAAAAACCCAAGCGGGGCACCAGTGGCACAGGTCTATAATCCTAGCTACTCAGGAGGCAAAGATCAGAAGGATCTCAGTTCAAAGCCAGCCCAGGGCTGGTGGAGTGGCTCAAGTTATAGGGCTTGCATTCAAACCCCAGTACTGAAAACAAAAACAAACAAACAAACAAATAACGAAAAGTAGGCACATGACATGCTACAGCACTGTCTTACCTGGGACAGGGCCCTCAGCAGTCTGGATGACTACACCCCTTGCTCTCCAGTGCAGAAAGAAGGTAGCAGGGTCTGCTCAGACCCATGCAGCAAGCAGACTACAGAGCTCCAGAGCCCCTGAGGTCAGGGTCACCCCTGCCTGGAGACACACACAAGATCTAACTCCAAGGGTCCCAGCCAGTTTTGAGGGCAGCACAAAGGGGTGTAAGATTGTGGGTACGTGCCCTAGTTGAGGGGACTAAGGTCTCAGGCCAGCAATCCCATCCAGGCATGCCTGCGCTGGAGCAGTGTACAGCGTAAAACCACAATAGGCCAGATGAGGGGCAAGGTGATGCAAAGCCCAGAGTCCTCAGAGGCAGTATAGTGTGCACACCCTAGCAGAGACATGAGCCTGTGGGACACCAGTAAACAGTAATGGAGCAGTAGGCCAAGAGCAGGCACCCACAAAGTTCTGATGGAGCTCAGGGTGCCCAGGAAAGAGCCTGAGGGAAACAGTTCCTATCCTTGGACCCTGCATGGCCAATAGGCCTCAGAGGGAAAGGCACATTTTGCCAACCCAGGGCTAGAATGTACTGTTAAGGACCAAAGAGAGGGATCCAAGGAGCTCTGAAAGCCTAGAATAGCATCCAGAGGAACAAGTTTCTTCTTCCAACTGTGACAGGTTCTCCCCCACCCAACATCAGCTCCACCTGGCCATGCCCCACTGCCACCACAAGCAAGGCACAGGACTAGGGCCCTCCATCTCCTTCAGGAGGCAGGCCAGGGTTGGCTGAGCTAGAACTTCACTCCAAGCATGCCTTCCCCATTGTGTCCAGGTCTTAGAAGACAGACAGAAGCAGCCGCCAGTACACCAAGGTCACTGTGAGGCACAGCCAGGCTCATACATGTATTGCTGATACTTCAGGGCAAAGATCAGATCTGGAGTGCTATTGATAACACAGAAATTCTATGCATAAAGGAGACTAAATAACCCAATGCCACACCACAGGCCCCTACACTGAGCAGTAAGAGGCTCCCCAGACAATGCCTACATCAGCCAAAGAGCCGGAGAGAGAGAAGGATGAACCCTGTGTGCATGGGTCATCTGACAGGAAAAAGTGTAAAACTGCTACCTAGGAAACCCAGGTAATAGGCTTTATTTGTGTTTTTGTTTTGTGGTACTGTGGATTGAACTCAGGGCCTCATTCTTGCAAGGCAGGCTCTCTACCACTTGAGCCACTCTGCCAGCCCTTTTTTTGTGTTGGGTATTTTCAAGGTAGGGTCTATTTGGTTTCCAATCTTCATCCTCCTGATCTGCCTTCTGAGTAGCTTGCATTACAGGCATGAGCTACCAGCACACAGCCAGGTATGGATTTAAAGAGAACACATCATCAAGGACTAAAGTAGCCAGAGACAACACAAAATGAAAAATTTTTGTTTCTCAGGGAAAAGGAAAATAACTCTGAAGGGACCCATGGGCGACCCGGTCATTCCCAGGAATGGACACCAACCCACATAAGCAGCCAGCTAGCTATGTGCACCTGGGTGATCTCACCAACATCAGGAACAAGTAACTGCCTTGCAATCTCACCTTGAACAAAGAGGTTCTGTGTGCAGCTGTGTGGAGGAGCCTGAGGACCCCAACTCGCACTGGGCCTGACTGAGGTGAGCCTGGGGCTGGCCCAGAGCTGACACTGTGTGGCACAAAGTTCTAAGGGGTCTAGGAGAAAAGTACTTGTACATTGGGAATGTGACAACGGCCATTTTAAAGGCTGTGAATCTTCTTGTTCCTTCTACCAAGGGGAAAATTTGGGCTTCACCACCACAGGGAGGCAGTCACACTGACACCACCTACTTTGGGCACAGGGTATGCAGGCCATGCAGCTCTGCCATTGTGTTGGATCACTCACTTGGAGCTCTGTCTGCTCTCACCAAGACCAGCCAAGCTCTAGAGCACAGAATAGGGACATAGTGACCATCTTCCCAGGGAAGAATGTATCAGAACCTTGTGGAACATTCATCCCGGTCCCTCAAGGTAACACCATGGAGCAGAAAAGTGAAGATCTGATTGTGCCCTGCCTGAATTCTGGCCTCCATGCAGTAGCTGATACTATACAGTGCTGGTGGGTAGAAGAACAGCTGTTGCCACCCCAAAGGCTGAGAAGTTAGCACAGGCAGTCTGAGAGAGAAGCTAAGGATGAGAGGCCCAGCAGGGGCAAGGCAACCCTCCAGCCCAGGTGCCAGACCCCAAGTTTGGCTCTGTGACACACGCACAGGCTCTTCCTGCCTGAGGTGGAATCCCTGGGTGTCCCCTCTCCAGCTCCCACTGAGCTGCAGTTCCCACACAACGTTCTACCAGACAGCACCAATGCCTGCCGCCCCCACCCTGGAACCCATAGAAACAACTCAGCCAAGTCCAGGACTTACATGGCCACGGAATCAACTCCTGGCAGCTCCCACCCGCCAACTCCTGAGAATCCAGAGGGACCCTCCTGCCAGAAATGGCATTAAGCTCCATGCACAGACAGAACCTGCTGCAAGTAATAACTGATACAAACAGACAGTAAAGGGCTCAAGGCTGAGCTTAGTTTCCCTGATCCAAAGCATGGTCCATGCAAGGACACTCACCCCAGGCAAATGCAGTGGGTTTGATCAAAGAAAAAGGTGAGAGGCATTTCTAAAGCTGGGCACTGATGGATCATGCCTACAAGCTATTTGGAAGCCTGAGATTGGGAGGGTTGTAGTTCAAGGCCAGCCTGGGCAAATAGTTCATAAGACCCCATCTCTAAAACAACCAGAGCAAAATGTACTCGAGGCATAGCACCTGCTTTCCAAGCACAAATCCCTGTGTTCAAACCCCAATTCCATCAAAAAAAAAAAAAAAAAAGACATGCTTCTGGGATAGGACAGCAATCGAGTTTCAGGGGAAAGCACAGAAGAGAAGGAAATCACCTCATTCTGTAGTGGGTTCCTGGCAGACACGGCTCACTTATAGAGGCTCACCTAAGACACAGGCGGTTCACAAGACCGCACAGGTAGATGTGGCTATAGCCAGGCACCACAGGATCCTGGGTTTCCATTAAAAAGCTGAGACACTTGGCAAAGGCTCTGAGTCACTTTGGCATGGAGTCCCACACTCTTGGGGCAGGGGAACATGGATTCTAGAAGTCGCTCAATGGAAGGGATTCTCGGGTTGAGAACCCACACCCAGTAGGAATCGTCTAAGGCAGACATTGTGACATATGGCAACATGCTGCTAGGTGAGTAAAGGTGAGCTGGCAGACCGCCAAGAGGGTCTGGATCCAGCAGAACCCCGTCCCAATGTGGTAGGAAGGTCACAGGCTTGCGCATCTTTAGGGACAGCAGACAGCCTGATAGAAGGCACCAATGCAAATCAGGACAGCTTCTACAGGGGCACCAGGACACTTCATGAGGCCCATGAGAAGCCAGAGCGTCCAGGAGACAGTGTTGGCCTGCAGGCTGAGCCTCCAGCTATAGGGCTGAGTGAAGGAAAAGGACTCACACCACCAGGAAAGGATCAAGGCGAGAGGAAGGGAAGGGACAGCTCAGCCAGGGGAGGTATTTAGATGACTTTTGTGGAAGGGTAAGAGGGGGAAATGAGAAAGACTGCCACTGAGGCATGGACAGCACCTCAACTTCTTCAGTTCAAACCTAGTAACAAAGATCACAATTCCAAAAATAGTTCAGCAGAACCTGAGTATACCCCTCAGACATAAGCACCTACGTGGGCAGGTCAGGCAATTGGGCAGGAGCCCCAGGGTTAGGAGCAGAATTGAGGACTGCCCCCCTCCACTAGATCCTCATAGCCTCTGAACCTGGCAACTCAGAGCCATGCAAGGCAGCTACCACTTGCTTTCAGTCCACAGCTGCAGGTGGCACCCGTAAAGCAGAGAGGCAGGGCCACCCTTCCAGGCAGGTGGAGACTGCCTTAAACAAAGCAGACCAAGTAATGTCCAGTCACAGGAACCTAAGCAAAGAGCCAGTCTTAGAGCCCTGCATCCTTACTAGAACCAGAGCTCCAGGGCGCAACAGACACCCAGGCCCAAGAAAAGACATGCCTCTCACCAGACTCCAGCAGACATCCTCCTGTACCTGAAGTACTTGTACAAGTCATTTCAAAGACCTTCTTAAAAGTAAAACTTCAGCTATTTAAATGTATGGATCCTTAATTTTAAAATGGGGGGGGAAGGCCCAGAAAGATGTAAACTAAACTATTAATTGTGCATATTAATTCAAAGCAAGGGCACCAAAGGGGAACTTTCATACTTCACTAATACTACTGATGCAAGCAATATCCAAATCTTTTTCAAAGGTCTATTTTTGCAACTTTAAAAACAACAAAGGAGGGCTGGCAGAGTGGCTCAAATGGTAAGAGCACCTGACTAGCAAGCGTGAGTCCCTGAGTTTAAACCCCAGTGTTGCCAAAAAAAAAAAAAAAACTTAAAAAGGAAAAGACAGTTGCTCATAATTTTACAAATCTTAGTCAATGTAGTTAACACTTTGTTTCCTCTCTAAGCACAGCAATGTTATAATTATAGTATGAGTGAATGAATAGAAAATTTAAACTGGATTTTAAATCTTTTCTGCCTAGGGAAAAAAATCAACCCAATGTGACCAACACAAACTAGCCCTGATTTCTTGGTTTCCCTCATGGCAGATCAAGACAAGATCAAGACTTCCAGAACACCAGGCCCACTGCATTATAAACCATTATAAATTAGCTTCCAGAACACTTATGTTTAAATATCAATTTTTGTATTTTAGTTGAACTAAGTTTTTCCCCCATTTTTCTCAAGGCAAGAGTAGGGTGCACCCTTCCCCATTACTACATCAACCTGTGGGCCACTGTGGCTGTAAGGGTCATGGAGTAGCTGGGCTGGACTCCAGCAGCTCCTGCCCACACTGCTCAGTGAGCTCCCTCACAGTCATGTCCTGTCAGCACCTCCAGGCAGTGGCATCTCTGGTTTAGACTCTCGGGAAATCCAGCCTATAACATGGCTAGGAGTCTGACTACCACAGAGAGGTGGCCTGAAAATTGCCAGAGTGGGGGAAGGTCCTGGCATGTGATTTCATAGTTCTTAGGAATGACACAGACAACTGGAATTGAAAACCAGTGCCCTAGAGTCCAAATGTGCCCCCAAGTACAGTGAAGGAGTAACCAGGATTGGGACTCACGAAGAAACCATGGAAAAGGCAGTACAGCCCTTAGAGTGCTCATAGTCCAGCAGGTACTTCCTCTCCCTGGCCACCCTCATCCATGGGGAGAGCCCCTGGGGGCTCCTCACTCACCCACCTGCACCTGCTCCCGGGAGGTCTGCTCCACCGCACTGTGGCTGGTTCCATCCTCGCCTTCACTGTTGTCATCACTACTGTCACTACCGGAATCTTCCAGGCCTGAGAACACACTCTCCTCACTGTCAGAGAGGCTGGAATCACTACCATCTTGGTGGCTGGGAGCAGGGTTGAAGAAGAGAGGGGGCTGCAAAGAAACATAGTGTTGATAACTGCCACCCCAGAGGCTAGCCCAGTAGGCACCACACAGATCACACAGGGAACAGCTGACCAGGTGCTTTAGTGCAGCTGGCCTGTGGTCATGAGCCTCCACCTCCGTCGAAACCACTGGACCAAACTGAGACTTGCTCATCTTTCTCCTCCTCTGACAGCATGGCTACCTGCCCTCAGAATAGGCATATCAAGCGTGTCTCGTGAGAGAGGGGCCTTACAAGAACACAATCCCTTTTCAGAGCTCAGTTCCTGCTTCATCACCAAACCCAACAATCCTCTCCTGACAAATTCCACGTCCTACTCTGTCACTCAAGACTCCCAGAGCTGGAAAAGCACTATCCAAGGACAACAAAGCTGGAGCCCATAGAGGACCAGAATCTCTGTGGGCTCCTACTACCTGAGGTAGAAGCCTCCTTGCCCAAAGAGACTGGAACCAACTGTGATGGGTAACTTGGAAAACCAAGAGTAATGGAAAGATGTGAACTTTACTTATAGCAAGCTAAGTCCGTTTGCATTCTTCTCGGAGGAGGAACACGGCCTTTTCTGAGCAGAACCCTGCAGACTGGAGACCGTTTCATGTCTAACTCTGTAAGACATGACGCACTGTGGGTAGCAACAGTCATTAGCTTCTGAAAAGTGAAACAAGAAATGAACGCTCCCAAGAAGCGTCTGAGTCTGGAATCTTTTTTTCTTTTTTTTATGGTGCAGAATTCTTGATTTCACTGTTTTTGTAACAGCTTATAAGTTTTACCTAATTGATGGCCTGTGTTACCAACTATTTCACAGCACTCAGCTGAGTTACCAAAGAAGTGATTCTCATATTTACTCACTCCTGACCTATCTCTGATATTCAGCTAGCTATACCATTATAATAGAATGCAAAATTGGTGCAAAATGTTAGGGCACTGGCTCAGGGTCCAAAAGCGGGCAGTGGAGAGCTTGGGTACATTTCACAAAACAAAGGGACAGTTTGGAAGATCCAGCTGTGAGAGGCACTACTGTGCCTACGTCCGACCAACCAGATTTAATGAGGCTCCACAACCAAGCCCAGCCAGCTGAGCAGCAAGGGAGTGCCACTGACTCCACTACAACTAATGTTCCACTCAGCCTTCCATATTCTCATGTCCCCCTTTATTTCACAATGCGCTAAACACAAGCTGTATAAACGGGGTGAGTGCTTACTGAGTGTGCAAGGTCAGTCCCTCTCTAGGATAAGACACACAATTGGAAGGCTCAGAGATGTCAGAAGGCTCACACCTTCCTGTGTTTTCCTTCCCTAGCGCTGTTCAAGCCACAGAATTGCCCCTCGTCGTAGGCTGTACCCCACCGCAGGCCCCACAATGACATCCCCGACAACACAGAGTTTCCCCGGGCTCAAGGCGACCCGCAGAACGCCTGACGCAGCGCGGCGTCGCACGAGCTTGGCGACAGGCGGCCTGGCCTCCCTAGCCTCCCCCTGCTTCTCCAGCCCCGCCGATCACCACGTGCACGCCCGGGCTTCGGCTGGACACTCCCCGCCATCCTGTAGTCACCTCCTCAGGCTGCGATTCATTCTCAGACTCAGATTCCGGACGCCGCTTCCCAGATCGGGCTCCCGCCGCCGTGTGCCCCGCACCCCGCGTCCCCGCCATGCTGCACGGCGCCGGCTCAAGACTGACGGCCGCTTCCGGCAGCGAGTGAGCCGCGTGCGCCTGCGGCCCGGCCCCTCCCGCCAGGCCCCGATTGGTGGGAGGCGGGGGGCGGGGCCATCCCGCGCAAGCGCGCGGCAGGGCCACACGGGGGCGTGGCCAGAGCTGAGGGCCAGGATGGGCCACGGCGCCTGCGCGCGCGGGCGGGGCACCGGCGGGAGCGCGCCCGTCGCAAGATGGCGGCGGCCATGCAAGGCCCCGGGACCGTGTGTGCGCAGCGGGCGGTAGCTCAGCCCGAGGGGCAGGCTCAGCGACGGCGCTAGCATAGCCCTCAGCTCCTGTTCTCTGCCGGCACTTCCGCCTCTGCTGGCCTTGTTCGAGATGGATCTGCCCTTGGGTCCCGGCGCACCGGGGCCCAGCAACGTCCCGGCTTTCCTGACCAAGCTGTGGACCCTCGTGAGCGACCCGGACACCGACACGCTCATCTGCTGGAGCCCGGTAGGGGCTGGCACTGGCCAGGACGGCCTGTGGGAGAAGGGGGCGACTGGTGGGGGTGGGGTCTGTCGGGAGAGCGGGCCTGCCCGGGGTCCGGCCCTTGCATCCCGGCGAGGGGCGCCGCCGTCCGGGGAGGGAGCCCGCCCCGCCCCGCCCCTAGAGCCGCGCGGTGCAGAGTCAGCCAGGACCCGGAGCCCTAAGTTTCGCTGGGACGCGGCTTCCTGTTCTTCGGTCCTTGGCTCACTAGAGCGACAGCGTCCCGCCGGCCGTGTGCCCTGCGGTGGGTCGCATCCATCGGACAGAAATCAGGGCCTGGCGCGAATGGTAGGGCGTGCTGTGTGGGGAAGACACGAGCGAGAGTAAGGGAGGAAGACGTGAAGTCCAAGCCGCTCCCACACAATCCTCAGACGCCAGAGCAGTTTTGCCCTGTTGTCGTAGGGCGGCGTCAGGCCCTGTTCAGTTGCTGTGTACATCGCAGACCCTGTACGACCAGCCGCTCCAGCTTGCAGAGTGGTTACCGGCTTGTGTCGAATTAGAGGCCAGAGTCTGCTGTTTACATCCTGGCTGTGACGTAGTGCCCCGTGACGACCAGAGTGCAGGGCTGGCAAATGATGGCCTGAAGACAGGCCACATTGATCCAGAGGGAGCCTTTGGAAGAACCTAGACCGGCTGGGTGCCACCACACCTGCCTAACCTCCTGCAAGCCAAAGCTTGGAGCTTCTCAGTCTCTGGGGAGCACTCCCTCCCCGACAGCAGTCCTTTAAGCTGGCAGGAATGGAGAGAGGCTGAACGGAAGCTAGAAGTAAGGTTCTCTGCCTCTCGCTTTTTGTTTAAGCCCTTCTCTGGGTAAAGAGAAGACTAGAAATCACACAACTCCACTTTACTGGAAACATTTTCTGATTGTCCCATTGGCATCTCCTCTGTGTGGGCCTTTCCTATTCCCCAGACCTGAGAAAGAGCACTGTGTTTTCCCCAAGGCCATTCAATTCACCACCTTCTCCAGACTTTGAAGTCTCCTAACCAGAGCAAATGACACCACATTTCTATCTTCGTTTTCCCCTTCCTTCCACCCATCTTTTTTTTTTCTTTTTTCCCCCGTGGGACTGGGGTTTAAACTCAGGGCTTTGCGGAGCCATGCCTCCAGTCCATTTTTGCTCTGGGTATTTTGAAAATGGGGGTCTTGTGAACGATTTCCCTGAGCTGATCTCAAACTTCGATCCTCCTCATCTTAATCTCACAGGTAGCTAGGATTACAGGTGTGAGCCACCAGCACCTGGCTCTTCCACCTGTCTTGTTCCCCTAACTCTAAGGGAGCTACTCTTACTGAAGTGAGAGGGGCACCAGAGATCCCCTGTAATATTCTGAACTTACTCCTACTAGGAAAACCCATCCTACCTGGTAATCTGCCTGCTGCTTCTGTTTATAGATAGTGAGATGTATGGGTGAAGTGGCAATGTGCACTCTTCTAAGACCCAAAAGGATGTACTCGGGTGGGCCTCTGGGTGGGAAGGCAGATGGCCAGCCTCTGCCTACAGCAGCACATTACTTGTGGGTCTATTGGTGTGTTCTCCCAAAGGAAGGAAGGAGTTGGTGGAACATGGTGTTCGGTTCCACTGGTCTGTACGAAGCAGCTGTGGTGATGAGTGGGCTGTAGCTGCTACAGGACACGGTGGTGGGGGCTGGCAAAACCATGCATACAGATATCAGGCTCTGACTTAGAAGTAGAAGGAAGCCCTGTCTGGCCTGGGCGAGGTCGGCAGAGCTTCTGGGAGCTGGCTGCATGGCTCAGAGAAAGGAGATTATGTCCCTTTCTCTGTAGCCTGGAGGGCACTGACACTGAGGCTGGGACTCTGTCAGCATAGTCCCGACATGGATCCTTCTTCAGGTTCACTATTCGTGATCCAGCCTTCAGAGGCCTCAGGAGCCCTAGGGTCCATATACTCACTTGGCTTCCAGCTGGAAATCTTCTAACTTTCTGCTAACAAAAACACCCTCCTGTCCAAAAACCAGGTAACTCCATAAATGCAGTGTGAGACCTGAGCCTCCTCTGCCCCATCCCTGCACATTTTCTCTCAGCCCTTTTTCTCCTTAATGCAGTGACTCCTCTGTCCCCCAAATAAGGCTCATGCTAGAACTGAGGGATGAGTCTGGAGAGCTTCAGCCTCCTTGGTAAGTTTGAAAACAGGGAGAAATGTCCAAACCCAAGTGGGAAATTCAGGCTTAGACTCCAGGAATGGTGTAGTCCGAATTCTATATAAAATCATTTTGGGGCTGGTGGAGTGGCTCTGGTGGTAGAGAGCCTGCCTACCACCCTAAGTTGAAACCCCAGCACTGCCAAAACAAAAAAAGGGGAGTGGGGTGGGGAGAAAGAAAGAGATTATTTTGTTCAGTCTTTTTAAAGAAAGATTGAAAAGAAGCATGAGAAGTAATCTTGGTTATCCCTGGATAAAGAGATTATAGACAAAATTTTGAATTTTTTTCTTCTAGTTCTTAAAAGGTGAACATAGGTTTCATAATCAGAAGAAAGATGTTTTCATACCTATTAACTAGCCAATGAGTCACTGTCCCAGTAGATCTAAAAGTTGCCAATGCTGGCTCCACTTACTCCTTGCCATTCAAGACTGGCTGTGGTGCCCCAAACCCAAGAGCTGCCTGAGAGCCTCAGAATAAGGCACAGGGCCACATGATTTGTACCAAACAACTGCCAGGACAGTTGAGCATGCAGGTGAGGATGAACTAGGAGAGACCGTGGCCTTGGAATCTGGGCCAGGATGCAGGGAGTCACCCAGGTGCAAAATATGAGGAGACATTCATTCCTTTTTAAAGCTCACTCTGCCTTTTGGCAGACCTAACTGCAATGGCCTCCTTAAATTTTGGTTCCTAGGTACGTCTTTATCCTTACCCTAGTCTAAGCTTGATGGCATAGATCTCTTGGGGAACAGGAATAATACTGTAGATTGAAACCCCAAGTGAGTCCCTGAGATGGAGAAGGTTGAAGATCACCAGGATAGTGACCCAGGGTCTGTTGAGTACCTGTGGTCAAACAGTCACTATGGAGGAAGCTGAAGCTCTGCATGGGCTGTCCAGGCAGAATGGTCTTTGTAGTAAGGCGGGGGCAGGGTATCTGTCCACTCAGGTGTTCCTCTTGAGCTCACATGAGGCATTTCAAAAGCAGCACCCGCTGCCATGGGTCATGTCCAGAACTCCTAGGATAGGCAGGTCCACTCCTGCCCCCCTGGATCTGACAGCCAGGTGAGCTCATTCTCAGACAGGCAGCAGGAACTGACAGGCCCACTGGCCTGCCCTTGGATACCTTGGCAGTGCACCCAAATGCTAGAAGCCATGCACCCCAGCAGTAGGCTGTGGCACATGCTGCAGAGGCTAGAGGCCCCGATGCCTCCAGTAGTGACTCAAATGTTGCATGGCACAGCAGTCTTAATTGAGCATCTCTGTTACAGACAAGGTTAATTACTTGTGAGTTCATTCTGTTCTTTCTACAACTGTTCAAGTAAGTGATATAATTTCCATTTTATAGATAGAAAACTGAGACTCAAAGCTTAACAAAATAAGAACTAAAAAATAGGAAAACCAAATCCAAAGTCCATCCTTCTGTTGCTTGCTGCCTGTCTTTGCCAGGCAGCATTCCCTAAATTGTGAACAGCAGGAAACCGCCAAGCGTCAGTGGCTCACACCTGTAGTCCTAGCTGCTCAGGAGGCAAAGATCAGGAGGGATCACAGTTCAAAACCAGACTGGGCAAATAGTTCATGAGACCCTATCTCAAAAAAAACCAATCACAAAAAAGGGCTGGTGGAGTGGCTTGAGGTGTAGGCTTGAGGTGGGGCTGAGTTCAAGCCCTAGCACCACAAAAAAAGAAAAAGAAACATTAGGAACCCTTCATCCAAACTGCTTTGTTAGCTAGAACTCAGCTTCCCTTGGAGTGACCAGGACTGCTCACAGTAAGGATCATATTTTGGATTTGTACAGGAGGACCCTTCTTCCCCCTCCACAGAGAAATATGAGACAAGCAGAGATCTAAACAGATGGGCTCTGTGCTGTGACATCCTTTGTGCTTACTTTTGCTCCAGGGAGATGGGGTGAAGGGAAGAAACGCAGACCGAGGTCACTGTAGGACTGGGCCATGGCAGCCTCCTTAGAGGAGGGCATATGCCCAGAGCACCCTAGCAGGCCCACTGTAATGCCCAGGACCAGTGTTTGCTCACAGCTCTTTATTGAGAAGCTATTGAAGGGCACCTGGCCCTAGGAGCCACTCATTTTGAGAGGAGTTAGCCCTTGTGCAGAGAGAGCCAGAGCTTTGTGGGGCCATAGTACTACCATGAAGGGATCAGATAGCTTCATCAGATATCACGGGCTGAGCTGGAGCCTACCTCTGGACACAGGGTTACCTTAAAGTGTGGCAGGAGGAGAGGCTGGCCTCAAAAGCTCTAAATAGAGGGGTGCTCAGTCACCAGATGTCTTTTGGTGCCTGGCAACACTGCCAGGGTCTGCCTTCCAACCACAGTGAACAGGGAGGACCAACTCGTGTGCTCAGTGGGCCCAGAGGTCAGAGTGTTCAGTGGCTGCGGATAAAAGGAATGTGCTGGTCGTCACACTTGCATTGCATGTGTGAACTAAAGGTAGCCTGAGCAAAAGCAAGAGAAGTACTTTGAGAAAAGCACAGATAGACCTTGGGAGAAAGACAATACTAGGACTGGGAGAGGAGGACCAGGAGGTGTGCTACCCTTCTATACCTGCCTGGACCCTCCTGTCTACCTCACTCTCCAGACTGGATTTCTCTGTTCTGTGTCCCTGTGCTGCAGAACCAGGCCACCCATGACTTCTCAGCTTACTGTGTGTGGTTGCTACCACATGCTTACAGAGACTCCTGTTGCTCCTGAAGCCCCAGATATTGGGACCCAGAAAGTGGCCTGACAGCCAAATCCAAAAAACCAGAGCATATCACCAGCCTCATCTTTGGATGCTCACGGGAACGAAAATGGGGAGA